TATATATATAGTACAGTGTATGTATAATTTGAAGTTTTATTTCATCATCTGAATCAGGATTCATTCTTGAAAATTATAAAAAATTCAGGTGTTTTATGTGCTTATCAGTTAATTTCGATCGATATTTTAATTCCATATGTTGATAATAGAAAACTTTTTTCATAAAATTTGTAGATTAAAACCTGCAGCAATGTTCGACAGCCAAATCGAGTATATTTGAAAAACTGCTTATTGACGTGAATTGTCAAAATTCAATATAATTTGAATCGCAGAAGAAATAAGCTTTTGTTAATGTAATTATAGAAGTCATTAATACATCCTTTTTTTTTCTTCATTTTTTCAATAAGTCTTCATGTGCCACCGATAAAACTCCGCCGAGCCAAGCTGAGGCCCTAATGCCGTGTGATAGTGGCTCATTCGGGTTAGCCACCCACGAATTTGGAGAACTTCTCTTTTCAATTTCACGCAAAAACAAAGAGACATCGTATCATTTTCAATTACATTACAGCTTTCAAATCATTATATTGTGGAAAAACACATATTTCCAATAAAATTTGACGAATATAAGAAAAAAAAGAAAAAAAAATCTACTGATACCGTCATGTGGGTCTACTTAGTGAAGGATTTCGCAGTTTTTGAACTTTGACATGTAAAAAAACTATGTTAATTCAAACTTTAGTAAAATCTATCGATATTATATTCACAACTGGACTCAGGCGAGTGAATTTGATCAATATTGGCATCATTTGTATGCAATATTTACAAATAATAAGTAGCCCCCAAGTGGAGCTACTTTGTGACTATTAAACAGGAATTCAGTTTAATAATCATGTTTTTAGTAAAATATTGATATAAAATTGTTATAAAAGTTAATTGTTGACATTTTTAATAACAAAAACATCAAGATATGTAAAGATATTAGTTTGAAAATAATTTTCAGCTTTAAAAAACCATTTTTTATAAAGAATTTTTTCTTAAAAAAAATGTTTATTTCAAAACATTTGAGTTCAAACAAAAGGAAACCATATACAATTTTGAACATTGAAATGGATGAAATTTCAAAAATAATGATTATTACATATTCATTAGCATTTATAATATTGATAAATTTGAACATAACATGCTTGAATTAACATGACAGAACTTGCTCTTCAGTTTCTATCAAATTCACCTGATGTCCTATAAAATATATTTTTATGCGCTAAATCGTTTGATTAATTCATTAGAAAAATCTTTGTAGAAGAAAAATAATAGTTTACCAGCACGTTTCACGTGTTTCTTGTGAATTTTATTAGAGATAGTATTTCTGTGGATTTTGTACTTGAGAGAAGCTTCTGCAATCGACATAACACCAGCAACTGCTTGCAAACGTTGTTGCAGATTTTCTAAAGTGTAATCACGGTAGTTTCTCTTTCCAGGTATTCTTTCTACAACGTCTGACCATTTTTCTGTCGAAAAAAAAAAACGAATGAAACTTTGCACAAAGTAGCCCCACGGTGCATTTTTTTTTTCATTTTCCGTTTATTTGTTATTAATTTTCAAATTTTTTAACGCTAACATGATATAATTGTTTATTAATATGTAAATAAAAAATTTTGCGCTTATGACAATTGTTTTATCAACGCCTTTGCATTTCACAGCTAAAGTTTCCTCGCACACTTTTCGACGTCCGACGTTCTCGGAAAGCTGTTGACATTGGATAAACGAAACACACTCTGAGATTGTTTTACAATTCGAAAAAATGTTTGTAGTAATAGAGGAGACTTCTGTCTTCAAATTCCACACATTTTTAACGTGAGAAAAACGTAATACTGAATAGCAGCACTTGAAAAGTGCCAAATTCGAATTTACATAAAGTAGCCCCCGCTGCACAAAGTAGCCCCACATGACGGTACCATGTAAGAGAGAGCCATAGCAAAGTGAGTGAAGAATAAATTTTCTTTTACTACATTTTAACGTGAGAGTTATTTACGTTCATTTAATTGATAATTGAGTAAATTTGCATTGATAATTGATTAAAAAAGTGATTTTTAATGAGATTAAAGTGCAAAAAGGAACATTTAAATTAATTTTTCATTCTAACAATGGATTTTCACGTACAAAGATTCAATCTTAATGGTTCGAGGGCCTAACCTTACATATGATAATTAATTAGTGCAGACGATATTTCAAGTTACGCAATAAGATGCAAAAAAAACGTACTTTTTCTGAATAAATGTACATTTATTTCGACGATTCTTTTTGGATTGTGTATTTAGGATTGTACAATTATTTTTTTGCTAATTTTATTTTTTGCGTATTCCACCATATCGCGAGAATTATTTTATGAACACTTTTTTTAGCGAATTAAAAAATTTTTTCCACGCAATTATAAAATTCGCTTATCTAAAGTTAATTTCTTGAAGAAAGTAATATTTTATTATTATTTACTAATTATTATTTACTTATTATTATTTACTTATTATTATTTACTTATTATTATTTACTTATTATTATTTTATTTAACAATAATCAAAAATATCTTGGTTTCCTAGTTATACGAGTTTTTACATCATTTTAAAGAATGTATTTTTAAATGGCAAACTACAACCTCCGAAATCAGTTGGGTAGTTTTTAACTCATCAAAATTTAAAGAAGTAGGTTTAAAATTTGATTTCACTGGAGCTATTCGACCGATTTCGCTTAAATTTTGTATTTTTCCATTTAAAATAACAGTTTTCAAAATGATGTAAAAATTTGTAGAAATACCTCATAACTCAAAATTTTATCGACTAATAATAAATAAAATTTTAAAAAATAATAAAAAATTATTAATAATTATTTATTGAGTCTTTGGATAAACGAATTTTATAATTGTGTGCTAAAAATATTCGATTAGCTATGAAAGTTGTCGAGCTATTGTGAAATACGCTTAAATTGTAATTCTCATTATGGGATCTAAACTTTCGACAGCTTTCCTACCTGAACTATCATACCCATATTTCTCGGATAACGGTCACACCTCATATTTTGAGGGTCCGAAATCCAAATCCGTCGTAAAGAAGATATGTTCATTCAGCAAAAGTGCGTTTATCTGTCTAATTTCTCAACTTAGAATACCGTTTCTATAATCGTCTGTTGTTTGATTTTACATCAGTTGCAGACGATATTTCTCAACTTAAAATATCGTCTGCAATAATTAATTCGCATATTTAAGGTGAGGGCCTTAGAACCATAAAGCTTGACTCATAATGCGTGAAAATTCAATCCGTTTTAGATTATCTTTTTGTCCCAACAACTGATGTAAAATTTGATTTTTAATAACTGTAGTAGGAGAATCGGAGCCATTACTTATTATAAAGTGCCACAGATAAATACCATCACATGGATTTAAAAATTAATTCATAATTTTCAGGTTGTTGCTTTTTACTTATAGAACTGCACGCTGAAACTTCAAATGAAGTGGAACTATGTGGTTTTTCTGATTCTTTTTGAAGGTAAGCTGACAGAAGAATTAAAATAACTTATTTTTTAAATGATTGGAAATATATTTACTTCCACATACTTAGAAACAATGTTGCTGAATCAGGGAAAAATGTTTAACTGATTAAGAGGGTACTATAGTATTTACTTATCGCATTAGTTTAGAATGGTTATCGGTATGATTCTGCAAATATTGTCTTTTATCTAACATATTACCTCTTGAGCGTGTTCAAACTTCCATCATTTCATTTACAATCGCGTAGTGAACAAACAAAACAACAACAAATATTATAACACTAATTTTTATTTAGCTAAAAATTATAGCTCAATCATTATTTTTAGCTTTAAATGATGATTATGACATGATTATTTTTAGAAAATAAATGACACTAGCCCGGCACAATGGACTATTTTATTTTGTAACCGATGTTTTACAGACGATTCAATTTTGAGTTTATGTCCATCAATATTTAATTCCGTTGCCTTGCAATTTTGAAGCCAACGCAGAAGACAGGGGAACTCCTGGATCAAGCATTTGGACAAAATAGAACTTCGATAGACAAACTTCGTGAAGGTCTTTTCGATGGAACGAACCCATATTCACGCACTGGGGTCGATGCGAGCCGGGAGCAGAATTCGATTCAACCCGTCACCGCTGGGAGTCGAATCTAGATCACCTCACTGAGAGGCGAACGCTCCATCCTCTGCGCTACAGCAGTTCGTAGTCTGTAAAACATCCCTGAGGATGATCCGATGACAGGTCATAATTTTGGTCTTCTGTAGAGAGGATGGCTCCCCGTGCTTTGGTAGTCCGAGGACATATTCGCGAAGACGACTTTACCATAGAACAATTTAACGAGGACCAATACAGCACAGCCTCGGTCATTTCACAGGCTGATCAAAGTGATCACTAGCCCTATCAATGACCACAGCCAATGATTCTTGACTTTGGTGATCTTCTGAGAATTGTGCCTTACGATCAGTCCACTGTGAGGCTATGTCACTTTCTTAAAGTTCTATTAACAAGGAAAAAACAACAACAAAATTGGTAGAGAAGAGCAGACACATACTCCAAAATCACCAATGCAGTTCACATGGCGAGTGTTTTGTTTAGTTACAAACGTAGTGGTAGCACTTGAAATGGTAACTTTGCACTTTTCCCTTCTACTAATTTTTGTATATTTTTCATTATTAGCTCTGTAATTAAATATCATTAACAAGAGTATTAAGAGAGACCCTTCCTACTTCGACCGAACTCAGCTGTCAAAAACGATGGAGATACGAGGAGGAAAAATTCTAAATATGCTTCTAATCCTTTTTATTTAATGTTAGACATTTACTCTACCCGGCAGTATCATCTTTCGATACACGTAAAGTAAAATACAAGACCATCACCTAATCACAATTTGAGTTGTAAAGGGTGCGAAAGTTTAGATCCTCTACTCTTTTTTTTTTTTATTTTTTTTTTTTTTTTTTTTTTTTTTTTTTTGGACAAAATTATGCCAATACAATTCTGCAATCAACAGTTTGTGATAAGTAGTTAAATAGTAATATACATCTGCTTGCTTATTTCCTTTAAATTTTGAAGAGTATTTTTGTTTTTATGTAATTAATGTTAGAAGAATTTTTTAGCGTCACTCAAATTATCAGTTTTAATCAGCTTAAATTGCTATAAAAATTAGATTTTCAAAGATTTAAAAACTTGGAAGCGCGTTGTTTTGAATTACAAAAACAAAAATAAACTCTCATCATTTTATTGCTTTAAAATTTTGAGGAAAAATTCATAGCAGCTCTAAAAATTATTAACCGCTATTTCTTCTAATCTAAACTAGCGACCCCTTTATTTTCTTCCCCCTCTCCTTAGCCTAACTCTTTATTTGAAAGGTATTTTGTTGTCTAATAATATTACATCTTCAAAAGTTTGCTAAGTAGAAAAAATATCGAGGAAACTCAAATTAAAAATTATAACCTAAAATCTCAGGTGTCAAGGTTAGATGCTTCTTAAATTGAAAGCATTTTTTTCTTCCGTTGATAAAATGATTTAAAATTTTTTTTCTTTCCATTTTAGGATTTGTGTCTCATTCCCTAATGGTGATGGAAAGATATGATGAGGATGATGAAGATGAAGTGGATAATACGGAGAAAAAGGAATTTGATATCACAATGTCGTGTAATGTAAAAATATAATTCTTATTTCGCGAAGCATTACACTTCAAAGTAAATACGAACTCACTTAAAAGGTTACGACACTATGAAATATTGCAACTACGTTCAAGCCATTGTCTATAATGGATACACTCTCTGTTCATTAAAGATTTTAGTGTTTCGAGAGCTTTATGTACATTTATATANTTCTAAATAGAGGGTATTTGGAAATTACCTTTTTAATATACAGGTTGTTTATAAATTCCGGACCCATTTTGATGTTTAATAACTCATAAAATAATGAAGATATAAACAAACTTATGGCATTTATTGATGGAATAACTCATATATTTTCCTTTTCAGGTTTGAATATCTTTACTTTTGTAAATATCGTCTGCACGTGTAGTTGATTTCAGATAATTTCATTTTCGAGTATAAATATCTGTACTTTTCTAAATATCGTCTGCTTATTAATTGCATTTTTCTCTCTTTTGTTTTTGGCAACTATTGCAATGTTATGTTTACTTTTGATGTGTTTGTTCTATCTAGTACTTTTCTATGTGATGTTTTATTCAAGCGGATATTAAGGAGAATGCATATACCACAAGAGAAAGCACTGATTTTATGGTGGTTCATAGAAGCGAAATCGATAGTGCAAGCACAGAGAAATTGCAGAAGAATTTACCAAAAAGATCCTTCATCCAAAATCAGCATCTTGCGGTGGAAAAAGAATTTTCTAGAAACTGAAAGTATCGCAGGTAAGAAACGTTCCGGACGTCCTTGCACAAGTGATTTTGACGTTGAGCGTGTCAGACAGACATTTTCGGACAATCCTAGAAGATCTGTGAGATCAGCGGCAAGAGAATTGGATATGCCAATTTCGACGGCGTGCAAGTTTATTAAGAAACAATTAAGACTGCATGCATACGAAGCTCAAATTGTTCAAGGTTAGGAACTGGACGATAGGCCTAGGAGGATAGCGTTTGCAACAGATATGGTAGGAAGGATAGAAGATAATGCTGATTTTCTGAAGCGCATAATGTACTCCGACGAAGCACCCTTTCATGTTTCTGGCATTGTTAATCGCCATAATGTGCGCATATGGGGATCTGAAAACCCCCATGAATACCGTGAGACACAAAGAGATTCCCCAAAGGTTAATGCTTGGTGTGGACTAATGCCCGACCGAGTCATTGAGCCTTTCTTTTTTACAGAAAAGACGGTCTCATCAGTCGTATACTAAGACATGTTGGAAAACTTCCTATTTCCACAACTAGAAGAGCTTCAGCCACATGTCTTTTTGCAACAAGATGGTGCACCACCTCATCGGGGTATCATCGTTCGTAGTTCTGTGAATGATCATTCTCCAGGAAGATCGATTGGGCGAGGAGGTCCAATTCCTTGGTCACCTAGATCACCTGATATAACGCCGCTGGGCTTTTTTCTTTGGGGATTTATAAAGGACAATGTTTACAGGAGGATCATGTCGAACATTGATGACCTGAAAGTCAGAATTACAACAGTAATGGCCTCTGTGGATGACGACATGCTCGCCGCTACCTGGCGTGAAATTGACTATTGACTTGATATTCTCCGTGTGACGAAGGGCACACACGTGGAAGTTCATTGACAAGGGTCGTGAAACTTTTTGAGTCTATCTAACCATTTATGTAATTAATTTTAATCTATCTTTATTATTTTATGAGTTATTAAACATCAAAATGGGTCCGGGACTTTATAAACACCCTGTATATAGATAGATACATATAGATAGATTGATACATATTTGAAACTTTTTGGTTATAACTGCCATAAATTTTATATTTTCTTTTTTCTAAAAATATGAGGTATCGCCTTTTTTAGGCACTACAGTCTGGACATTCGGTGGTAATTTGGTTGAGATAAAAGACAATTATTTTTCCCATGGAAACTGGCGTCAGATAGTGTTTTTTAAAATTCCAGAATTTTTAAAATTCCAAAATTTTTAAAATTCCAGAATTTTTAAAATTCCAGAATTTTTAAAATTCCAGAATTTTATACTTTTAAAATAATTGATTTTTACGAATTTACAGGCTGTGGCTTTCAAGATCCCATCCTAGATAGGAGAAGACGTGAAACCAATATAAGATCTCCCCGAGAACAAGGATTGGATGTATTCTTTCCACGTCTAAACAAAAGAGATATAAGAGGTGAGAAAAAAAAATACAATGAAGTTTGTACCGATAAACTTGAAGTTGTGAAAGATATTTGATAAAAACTAAGTAACGTTGTTTGGATAGCCAGGAAAAAATTCCGGATTGCTGTTAATGATTAATGTACTGCTAATAAGAGTTTCGTTCTGTAAATCGTAAACGCTGATTAAAACTGCACATGATTTCGAATAGAAAAATTTTAAAAATTTAAACAAGAAACTTAAAAACATCTGATAATTTTTTTTTTTGTGTACAGTGAGCAAAATAAAAAACGGAAAATAGAAACTCTAAATAACTTTTGATCGGATCTTCATGTTCTAGGACTCAATCTTAATGGTTTAAGGCAGTGTTTCCCAAAGTGTGGTACGCGTACCCCCAGGGGTACGGGAACAGTTTAACTGGGGTATGCGTTCTCTTGCAACAAACGAAAATTTCAAAAAATTTTACTTAAAAACAAAGCTAGCCATGAAAATTTACGATGACGTATTTTTCTATTGGCTATTTTTGGCAGAGTTAACAGTTAATAATTGGTGGTGTCAACAACCAGTTGTGATTTTTAACTTTGGTGCAATTTTTTTACAGTAAAAATAAAGATATTTTTAAAAAAAAATATATTCATTTCTTATGAGTGGTACACAGCGTTACGAAAAATTTAGAAAGGGTACACAGAAGTCATAAGTTTGGGAAACACTGGTTTAAGGGGATGACTTCAAATATGCAGATTAATAAGTGCCGACGATATTTTAAGCTACTAAATTGGGCACAGAAAGATACTTTCTCTGAATAAAATATACCTTTTTTTTGACAGATTTACAAAAAATAAATTTTAGCAAATATTCGATTATATTAGATACAATTGGGATTTAAAGGCATGTAATTTTTTGTATAATTTTAAAGAATGTAATTTTACCAGACAAAATACAAAACTTGAGCAAAATCGGGTGAATCGATCCTGAGAAATCGATTTTTAAATATCTGACTCTTTTGAAATTCAATTTCTTAGAAACTATTCACCCGATTTCAAATTTTGTATTATATTTTATAAATATTGAAGTTAAAAATATGAAGAAGACATAGAAAAAAATATAAAATTTTTTTTAAAAATTATTCTTTATTATTCTCATTGCGTTGCTGATCGCCCTACCGGATAAAAAGCTTAAAAGTGTTAAACTTCAAAGCCATTTTTTATACTTATCATTGAAAAAGTGTCATTAGTTTGAAGAATTAATGTGTGTAAATAGTTGACATTATCGGAGCTTTCCAAACAAAACACTTATTCTTAAGAAGCAAAACATATCAGTGATATAAATGAGAGCACTGTTTTGAGTGTTCAAGATTTGCTGACAAAAATCAAAGCATAGGAAGTTTTTCCATTAGCAATCATATCTTCCTACTTACTAGCTTCTTGAAATTTTTTATTTTAGAACATCATATTAATGTTAAAACTGCACATATTGTTTTAATATATAATTGTTTCTCCCTGTTTTACTTGTTCTGTTACCATTTCCCTGTTCATCTTTGATTTTCATATTATTTCATAAATAGAACTTCCTCTTTCTTAATTCTATCAATAACATAACATTTACATCTTCGTTCTGTTAGGCGTGTATTACGTATTTAAGTTAGACAGTCACATTCACCTTTTTTCTTATTTTCATTTTTACACTCATTTAAGAATATTTTTTAATTGTGTAAAAACATTTGTTTTCTCTAGAACATACTTGCTTCACGCCCCGTATTGTTGGAGGGGAGGAATCCAAAGCTCATGCTTGGCCATGGATGGTAAGCTCTAATAAAATGTTCTACTAAGTAATTACTACTTGCTTTGCTACTTGAAATATCAACAGTGCAAAAACAATTAAGTTTTAATCCCTAATAAATTAACAATGATGAGTCTCCGTTTTATTTTTTCTTATAACCGGTGTTGAGCAGCTGACTCAATTCTGAGTTTATGACAGTCAGTGTTCAACTTCATAGCCTTGTAATTTTGAACCTAACCCAGAAGATAAGGAAAACACTGGATCAAGCATTTAGATAAACTTGCCTTCCTGAAAGACTTTTTTGATAAAACTAACCTGCATTTGAGTTAGATGGAGAGGTAAACCTTCCACGGTTAACCGGACGGCAGAGGAATTCTAACCCATGATCTGTCCTTGGATGAGATAATTTTACACCAGCACCGTGGTCAATGCGAGCCTAGAACAGAATTCGTATCAATCAGCCACCTGTGGGATTTGAAGCTGGGTTTCTTTAAGCGTGACACTGAAAGCAAACGCTCCATTCTCCTGGCCACGACAGCTCGACGAGTCTCCATTGTAAATATAACGTTGATCATAATTTGATCATAAGCGATCATAATTTGCTCGATGCGATGATCATAAAATGATTTTTTTCAGTCGATGATTAAAATTAAAAAAAAAAATTTAGCAATAATAGAGTCACGCTTTAAAGTGGCATGTATTGATTAAATCTTCGCTGTTTAACTAAATAACCTCGTTTACCTCTTATTTGCTTCATTGTTGTAATTTCAATGACGAGTCTTCATTTTTCAACTTTTCTAAAAATATACTCATTTTGTACATTTCATTCGCCCTTTATATGTTGATCATTGTTGCAATTTCAAGAACAGGACTTCATTGTTTAACTTTTCTGTATTGTTTATCATTTTTATTATGCGTTAATCATTATTGCAATTCCAACGATGAATCAATGATTTTTAAATTCTCTTTAAATATTATCTTATTTTGTACCTTTCATTTGTCTATTACGGGTTGCAAAAATTACACATAGATTAGCTTTTTTTAAATCTTTCGATAAAAGCTAATTCATTTCTCTCAATATTAATTTGATTCTAATACTTTAGTGGTGTTTCAAGAACATTTGCCAATTTAAAAGTTAACTCTATCTAACATGTTGCCAATTTCAAAATAATATTTCCATGCAACAAAACTGTTTCAATTGCTATAACACTTAATTTTGGCGATTAGGGTGAGTGGCCGGCTTCGCGTCAATTCCAGTGCACAATTTGTCTCGAGACAACTCATCGAGAAAAAATTTATCGATTCGCAAACATGAAGATTTCGATACCGTTTTTGTCTTTTCCTCCCTTAAATATTCATTTGCGGCCTATTATGTGCTTACTTTTATAAAGGACAAGGCTTCTGATAACATACAGGAGCAATAGCAGTTACTAACATATGAAGTAGTGCACCTCGTAAAAATTGAGAATTGCAAAGCAACCCCACGTCCGGAAATGTTATCGTATGCCGCTAGAGGCGTCTCCCCATTACGAACAAACTAAACTTGCGGAGCCGCAATGGCTCAGGGATAGAGTGTTCGCCTTCCAATGAGGTAAACCGAGTTCGAATCCTACCGATGGCTGGTCGATACGAATCGTCATCCGGCTTGCACCTGCCACAGTGCTGACGTGAAATATCCTCAGTGGTAGGCGGATCATGGGTTAGAGTCCCTTGCTGTCAGGCTAACCATGGGAGGTTCTCGTGATCTTCCGCTCCGTGTAACGCAAATACCGGTTAGTTTCATCAAAAAGTCTTCTACGAAGGCAAATTTCTCCCAATACTTGATTCAGGAGTTCCCTTGTCTTCTGGGTTGGGTTCAAAATTACAAGGATACGAAGTTGAATATTAGTAGTCGTAAATCCGAAACATTGGGTCGGCTGCTCAACGACGTTTATAAAAATAAATAAAAACTAAACTTGCGCATTTAAGACGGTACTTTCACTTATGTAAATTATATCAGTTTTATATGAATTTGGCGTATAACAGTAATTGTCAAAAATTGCATTCAAGTATAGCTGTTTTATCGCAATTAACACTATTGCGACCCACTTTTGGTAAGTTGCTGAATCATTAAATTACAATAAAATAGTTACTTCAAAGCTTATTTGCATGCAAGCTTTAATAATTACCAGAAAACGTCAAATTAACATAAAATTAAGATACTTAAGATAAATGAATGTATCTGTTCAAATGCGCTCAAGCAGCAAGTTCATAATGAGGAGACACTGGTAGCAGCGTACAATAACATTTCTCGCAATGAGTGGCTACGCTATTTCAGTCCTTATCTACTCTATCTCTACTTCAAGCTTGTAGCCTCTATACCTGATCATTTTGTATGCAAAGGGTGGTGATTACGGAACACTTTCTAATTTATGTTATCTCTTGTGAAGGAATTAAAATAAAAGTGTTTTTTATTTTCTTTTTAAAGGTAGCTATCTTCCGAGCTAGAGATAGAAATGAAAGACACCTTTGTGGAGGATCACTAATCAGCCAAAGATTTGTGCTTTCAGCAGCGCACTGTTTTGACTATGACAAATATCCGTAAGTTCAGAATTAGTTTGAAAACAACACGATTCACGATTAGGAAAACGATAAAAAAAAAAGCCTCAATATTTTGCTCAAATGATATATTTTTAAGTTCTAAAACATTAGCTAAAACATATTTCAATATTATTTAATGTTATTATTAACTTTATTCCTGACCCTTTAGTTTTTTCGCTGTTAATGGGAGATTAACAGGTTAAATACCACGCTAATTTTACATGGCTTGCCCGTCTGACAAACGATAAATAACTACAAACTAAATTTGCAAATTTTGGACAGATTTTGTTAGTTTTTTTAAAAGGTTTAGCATGACGAAAGAACTCTAAAGTGGTGAATTGTTACGAATTGTTTAGAAATAGTGGTGGATAAAAATCTACTAAATTGAATTTATTAAGCCTAGAATCACAATTAATAAACTACCACTTAAAAATATTTATTCGCCGTCTGTAGCAAGTTGGCATTTCTGTGTATATAAATAAAACTATTTTTGTGTGTTCTATATTGCATTAATTTCTTCAAACCATTTTAGTAACGATAATAATGTAAAAAAATTTAAAATTTTACTCGAATTATGTGTTTTTAATAATCTTGGCTTCGCCGGTCACCGGTGATCCCCGTTATATCTTCTATTTTCAGGATTTTTTTAAAAAAAATTTATCCTTTTTTTCGGATTTTTTTATTTATTTATTATATCCCCCCCCCCTGTTGCTTGTTATTTTTTTATTATTTTTTTTCTTTTTCTCCCTTTTTTCATATGTCTGTAATTTTCCTTTGTTTTATCTTCATTTTGAACTTATTTTGTGAGTTCTATTTACGAGCAGCTTATTAGCAATAAATTAAACTTATTGTTTTTTTTAATTTTCTTCGTGTTTTTTTGTAATTATTTATTTTGTAATTATATATAAATTTTTCTAGAAATCCATCCGCTTTTGTTATTAAAGTTGGATCACACTCAGTAGCAAAGGATGGAAAAGAATATGCAATACAAAATATTCTAAAACACCCAGAGTACCGAAAAAGCCATCATTACAATGATATAGCACTATTGAAAATCAAAGGCAGAGTGAAATTATCGGACAAAATCTATCCTGTATGTTTGCCGTCAAATGCACAATACGAGGGAAGCAATAATGGCATTAATACCATGACTGTCACAGGATGGGGAACTGTCGAGTATAGTAAGTTCATCACTATTATGTAAGTTCATTTACAAATACCTGATTCGGAAAAACTACAACAAACTATTACAACATGGCATAGTCTGAGGACTAAATTAAAAAACTCTCGTGCATGTAGTTTGGTTAAAATGATTTGTTACGCAGCAAAAAAAAAAAATTTTTAACAGTTTTTCTAGTGAGATTGCCATCTTTCGATTAACTTTATTACTAATTTCGAAAATTTATTTTTTTAGTTTCCTAATCAGAACGCAGTAAAACATTCATTTTCATCTCCTTCCATTTTTTAAAATTTAATTTTCAAGTCGTCGATGTTTTTTGAGGCAACCGTTAATAACTATCAACATAGTCTATAATATTACTTCTGTATGTATTCATTCCACGTGGAATAATACTCTCCAATACATTTATGCCAAGTATTTTTAATCCGAGCGTTAATATTTTCTTATAACTTTAATGGGTTATTTTTCTTATGATGAAAACTTCCAAATGAAGACATTTTTCTCTTTTGAAAAGCCCTTCAAATTGTCAGTTCAGTGCTTTAAGTACTCAGCTCACGTCCGGGCACTTTGAATGCGGGCAGAGTAAGTAAGCATTGATAATTGCTGTAGCTCCTGGAGTTTCCTTACCATCTTGTATCCAAGTTTTAAATTTCTTTTCAACTAATATAACTTCATATGCAGCTGTGAACACGAACTCTTCTGCCAACTTCGAAACTGAATAATTTGTGAAATATTAACTTGAAGGTATTAATTTAACCTCTGATGAGTAGTGTTTAGATTTTAATTCACACCAGATATTTCGAATTCCCGGCTTAATCAAATGTAGATCACGATAAGTAAGCAAGTCCGACGAAGCATTCCAGAGGGAGAAAGTTGACATTAATTTATTTATACATAATAATTAGTATTAATTTATTTATATATAAATATATATATTTTTCTAATATTTGCATTGACCAGCTGATCCATTCATTAGATGTTTATCAGCTGTGTAAGTAAAAAGTAAAAAATGGTAAGTAAAAAATTATTACCTCACTGCACCAACCGTCTCTTAGACCAACCGTCTCCAACCTGATATGACCCTTCAAGAACTATAAACTCATATGTGGATTTAAAACACCTGATGAAAGCCACAAAAACTTCTTTATTGCCCCGACGCACCCGGGCGGATTTTGACTTTCACCGCTGGTTTCAGCAAGAGCTTTAATCTTTAAAATTTTGAGGTACTTTTCAACTCTCTCTCTCGTTTTCAACACAATTTTTTTTTTGGATAGGGATCAGCTCCGAAATCTTTTCATTTATCAACACATTTTCTTACTGCACCTTCCATTCTAGCTAGAGGACCAGCCCATAGTCTGTAATTTTATGAATTTTAGTGCAACAAGTAGACTGCAAGCTTTGTAGAGTTTTAAATTAGATCTTCTTCAGGACCCATTTACTTGGACTCCGAGTGTGCTGTGCAAATTCTCTGTCTCAGAAATCCCCAAAACTTCTTCATCACGTAAAATCAGTGTCCACCTATTTGATACATTAGTCAGGACGGAGTGATAAATTACTACCATTTTTTAAATTAAAGTGGCAACTTAGAAGCTAATATTTTACTAATTATTCATTTAAGAATTTTTGTAGTTAGTTAGTACCTTTCCTGTGTCTGTCTTTAATTTCTAGTGTACATTTTATAACAGAAGGTAAAGCCAGTGAAGTATTGTTAGAAGTTAAAGTGCCAGAAGTGTCCCTGGAAAGTTGCCGAGACTCTTATTCGCGTATTTCTGTCAGAGGCATCTCAAAAGGTATTACATCAGATTTCATCTGTGCTGGCTTTGAAGAGGGTGGAAAAGATGCATGCCAAGTAAGATAAATATGGTTAAAATATTTAGTGTGTACTATGATGCTTGATCTTTAAAATACCAACATTCACTGTTCGAAATAATACTGACACTTAACTATTAATATCATATTCGATATGGACTAGCTTTAGTTAAAAAAACATTATAGAGATGTCAGAGGCTGAACTAGATCACTGAGTGGAATAAATAAATCGCCATAATTGTTTGGTTGTGAATGGCAACTAGTTGTTTGCATTATTTCTTTTGGACGATTCGTATTCCCATTCCATTGATTCATCTGTAACTGATTGATTTTTGAGAGATTGCATGTGAACAGATAAGCGAAGTGATGACAGCTTATAGACATCTCTATAACTACCAACTTTTCTAGTTTAGCTTAAAAAAATTCTCTATACACATGACCAATAAATGTAGTTGGAACAACGTACGTGCAAGAATCAACATTAACATACAAATTAATGAGTCACAATATAAATTTAGATTTGATTAGAATTACTCCTATACCACATTCATTTTAAAATCATATTTTTCATATTTATTTTTCATCGACCAAATATTTATCTGTTAAATTTAGTTACATAAGAAGATATCAGTATTATATAATATTAAATTTTAATGTCCTCAGTCATTCATTAAAATGCCCCATTGCTTAAAAGATTAAAGCTGTTACCTCCTTCCTCTAGAGCAGTGTTCCCCAACCCCCGGTCCGCCCATTTCATTGAAATTAAATTCCTAGATTTATACCCCAAATTAAAAATATCTGTGTTCCATTAAAAAAAATTTTATTTTAAGAAAAGGGGGCCACCGAAGGTAGTGACATAAATTTTTTAATGTTTGTTAAGTATCATTGTCTCCGATTACCCCCAGATGGAACCGTCACATTTCAAAGAAACAAGCTCAGGGTTCTCATTGTCTTAACCTTCTAGCAAGTTAAAATGTTAAATCTCTTTATATTTATTTTTTGGTGTAACTGTATTTTATTTTGAAGGCATCAAATTTAAATACAATTAAATTAAAATAATCTAAAATATAAGCAATCAACGTCCGCCCCCCCCCCTTCCAGCGGGCAGCGGTAAAATTATCAAACGTTGACAGGTTCGCGGTGATAAAAAGGTTGGGGAACACTGCTCTAGAGGATGGAGTTGACAGGGATTGTTCCATATGCATAATTTTTAAAAATAATATGTTAAAAACGTTTTCGTCAGGTTTTAAAAATTTCAAACTAAAGTGGGTTTTGATTGAGTCTAATCCTAGTTTTCAGAGAAAATATATAGTCATTTATGACTAATTTCGGTAATATAGCTAGCTACTATTAATTTTTAAAGTAGGAAAAAAACACACATTTAGAATTCTGAAATTTTGCAGAATAAAAATGCCTTGTTGGTGCATGCCCTCCATCTCTTAAATCCACACAAAAATATTTTTTCTCTTATTTTCATCACTAATCCAATCACAAACTTTTACCAGTGTATACCATCTCTTAAATCCACACAAAAATATTTTTTCTCTTATTTTCATCACTAATCCAATCACAAACTTTTACCAGTGTATCGTCACTCTCTAAACTATTTGTTTAGATATTAGATATCAGTATTCTTGTCGGAATTAAAATACATAAGTATCGTCTAATATGCAATTCTCCTTACTTAACCATGTTGTTACTTTATGGGTCGATATGCAGCGGCACTAAAATTATTCATATTTTTTTCTTTTTCCATTTCACCACACAATAACAATGATTACTTTCGATTTTATTAAATTATAATTTTATTAATTTTTTTAAATGTTTAATATAAATCAGGGGTGATTGTGAGCCCATGTCAAAATTCCGGAAAATTTCTTGAGTTTAAAAAAAAAGACAGTTTAAATTGAAAAAAATTTAAACAAGGTTTTTTTTCTTCCTTTTTCTCAATATTTCTTAGTTTACTTAAAATATATTTAAAGTTTTACACATACCTATGATGACCTGCAGAAGTAATTAAAATTTACAAATATGTCTTTCTTTCTTTAGTCTATGATTATAACAACTATTTACTGATAAAAAAGGAATATCAATCATGAATATAAGCTTATAAAGTATCTCTCTGACTCTCCCTTACAAACAAATAAAATAAACTGTGTTTTTAAGTTCCACCTTGGAAAATTTGATTTCCGGAAACTTCTGCGATCAATGATTTTTTGAAACATCTGGACCTTCGATCTCCGGAAACTTCCGGATCACTGTCAGCGAAAATTCCGGAAATCCGGATTTTTTCCGGAGCACAATCAGCCCTGATAAATTATATATTAATGCATTAAAAATTGTTTAATAGTCATTTATTTAATGTTTACATTTTAATTCTATAAAATTTATTATTTTATGTAATAAAACCTATAATTTCTTTTTAAAAAATATTATGGGCGAGTAGATATCGACAATGTCAACCTTCATCTATGTAAAGGAACCCCACCATAGAATCGAGTTAACACGTCTTATATATTAGTGTATTTGAGTTGTACTTTTGTAACAGTAACCTCCAGAATTTTATCTGTGATAGAATTCGATAAATGAGATACCACAAGTTGATTCATTGCTGTTTTGTGAGAAGCCGGGAGGGCTGTATTAAGATCACCGTACTTTTTGAGTGCTGATCGTGAGAGCTGTATTAAGTTTAAGGTTGTTCCTGTGTCCTCTTGTTGGTCGAAACCGAGAAGCAACAGCGTGAGGAAGAAAATGTCGCAGTCACAAGTAGCAAGTCAACTGTTCAATGTGGACAATCCGTCGAAGTAGGCGTGTTCAAATCATAGTGGGCGTTTCTGTTAATGTGGGCGAGTAGATATCGACAACGTCAACCTTCATCTATGTAAAGGTACCCCACCATAGATTCGAGTTAACATGTGTTATATACTAGTGTATTGGAATTGTACTTTTGTAGTGGTAGGTACACTACAATATTTTATAAAAAGGTTAAAGACGCTTTCTATTGATACGCTAAAATCCGTATAAAAACTCATCCTTAAAAAGGAAAAATAGTTAAGGATATTGTTTTTTATATAAATTTAAAACTTATCATCCCAAATTAAAAGTAATATTTAATTTTTTTACAGGGAGATTCAGGTGGTCCGTTGATAAAATATGCAGATGGAAGATGGTTTCAATTTGGCATTGTTTCATTTGGATATGGATGTGCAAGACCTGGTTTTCCTGGTGTATATACGAGAGTTTCTAAATACACACAATGGCTTTATGAAAACAGTGATCTTAAGATGGATTTAATATATTAATTATGCATTTTCAATGAGAATAATTGGATGGATTTTAATATAATTATGTATTTTCAATTTCGAAAAACTCATTTGCAAGTGGAGGCAGTTGTTCTGCAGCTTTTGAGTGCCTTAGGTACTAATTTGTTATCTGAAATAAAGATATGTAATTCTAAACAAATATAGAAGATTCTTATGTTGGAGCCGCAGTCATATCTTATCAATATTTTTTCTTATTTAATACCTGAACTTTTACGCTATCTGATTTTCTTTCTAATTTATTTTAACTCGAGGTGCAATAACGTGATTATTTAATCCACAGGGGGAAAGGTAAAAGGCATCTTTTACGCCTGAGGACTTTGTGCTATTTAAAGATGATGGTATCGTTACCATCAAATAATACTCTTAAACATTGTAGGTTTCTGCAAAATGTTATTTCCAGTGGAAGTGAGTTTAATTGAAAATTTTCAAAACCAGCCAATTTGTTCTAGAACTTTTAACAATACATTGTATTGTGACTCATAGTTACAGTGGCTTATGTGACTTAATGACTGTCTGATACATTTTAAATTATTACTAAAACTCAATACATAGAGAACTTTGATAATAATCAAGGACACCTCTTGAAAACAGTTAAATTTGAAATCAAATTACTTACCAGCGGGCAAAGACATGAGCAACAGCTAGGTGATGAAAAAATTTCGTTAATATGTTGTTTAATTGCGACGAGGCAGCCAACAGGACTTGAGAGGGTGAAATTTATATGTTACACAAGATAGGTTTAGAAAGGTGACCAGATTAGTCACCAATGGCAGTTAGTTATAAGATAAAAGGCTCCAAAGTTAATTGTTGTGAAAGAAATGAACAAATAACAAATTAAAAACAAGCATTTTATCTCTTTTCTTTAAAAATTCATTTACAATTATCTATATACAGTAAGTACAGTTTAAACTGCAACCAAACCCAAATAAAAGGTCATGCAGACAGAAGCAAATCAGGCCTGTAAACTTTCTTTTACGACATGCAGAAGCACATCGAAATTTATTGTTGGATCATAATCTTTGGGAAGGGGTATTTCTTCTCCTTCAGCAGGTTTCACAACTTCAAACTGCACCCAACGGTACTCAGAACATTTACGAGCTCCAGGACAACTCTGAATTAAATTTTGAACCGTTGGATGAGAGAGTCCAAAAAATTTCGCTCCTTGTCCTTCACTGCAAACTACTTCTTTGCCACTAAAAGAAAAGTACTTCTTTTAACATATAGGGTGAAATTGGGAAGTTTTACAACTGGCCAGTTGTAAAACTTCCCAATCCGATAAATATGGGTTCGATAAGTATGAGAACGGTAAAATATCATGAGAAACATGCCTCAGATCTAAAATCTAAATACAGAAGTGAAATATTTTCAAAAGTAAAAAAATGCATTAAATGATATCAAATTTGAACCTCATTAACCTCAAAATCGCGAATTTTATTGCATACTTGAATTCACGAGAAAAAAAGCACCTCTAACTTGATTTCAAGATTTTTTAGTTTCAGTTCAACAGAAAATTAAAATGGAAAACAAATTATTTAAAATTGAGACATCTTGAGAAATATTCATCACACTAAAAAAAATGAAAACATACATGTTTGATAATTTGATGAAAACTTATAAAATTACATTAAACTCACCATACCTAGCGGACCCATTCCTATAGGGGTGAGGTTGGGGGGGGGGGTAAAGTTTAGTTTCAATAAAAGCATAATTTAGAAAATATTTCATAGATGTAGTTTTTGATTTCTGATATGATGAGAATTTCTCATGATATTTGACATTTTACAAACTTGTTGGTCACCCTGTATAGTTATTAATAAGAAAGAGAAATATTGCCAAAAAAGGTGATAATGTGTGGGGAAGTAATAATTGAAAGTGAGGCTAATTGAGAAAGTAAATCTGGTAAACAGAAAGCAGATGAAAGAATCGATTGTTCGTCAACGAACATTATTCTGAATATGATGTAAAAGCCTGAAAACTAATGTGCATACCACATCTAGAACAATTCAGTAACATTTTCAAACACATTTGAATAAAATTAATTTTTTTTTTATGTTTGCATTCATCGTATACATAATAATGAAAATAATAAAAAAATAACAATGATAGGTGCATAAAATATCAAAAATAATTTTTCAGGAAAAAAAAAAAAATAAAGCAAAAAATATTTGTATTCAAATTGCTACTTAATATGCATAGGTGATTCACAATCAGCCAATTTTATTACCAGCGTAAAAGTAGACTTCCTATTTTACAGTGTAATAAGGAAAGTTAAAAAATTTTGACTAATGCACTGGAAAATATGGTCACACTAGGTAATCTAAAAAAAAAATTAAAAAAGGGTATCTTAATAATAGTTATTTATTTACCAGGCTATGCATTTAGATTATTTTGCAGCAAAGAAAACATATTGGATGAGTAATTTCAATGGAGAACATTAAAGTTTGATAGTAATTGATCAACGTAAATTAAACATACCAGACTGCATTTATAGTTCTTAAAAGAGCACTGTGAACTTCATTAGGGGAACTACCAATTAGAGATCTACCCGGATCATCCTCTGGAGTTATTTCAAACTAAAATAAAAAGAAAAAAAATACATATTTTTTTAAAAATTTTGTAAAAGTATTAGTTAAGATTTGAAATGATTTCTTTTTTATAAACTTTAAGGAATTGAAATTTTAAAACACAAATTGTTAAAAAAAATAAATAAATAAAAAACTTTTTAAAATAGGTACATAAATGTGTACTACTTATAGAAGTATAATTTGATACTCTAATGAATTAATATTGGCTTTTAATCTTGATGATAAAAACAGTGTAATTCTTTCGAAAGTTAAGTAAAAAATGACAAAATATAGAATCATGATGTATATGATAAGAACTTTAATATAGTGTGAGATCTCAAATGTTTTATATTCCTGCACTGAAATTAAATTTTGCTCAAACTGTAAAGTATTGTTGCAAATACACTCAAATAATTAACAGTTGGTGATAGAGTACATCACTAAGTTGGTGACTATTGGTATGATAAACAAGAAATAGTTTCTTCCCTTCATTATACTTCAATATAAATCACTTAATAAAATATATCTGAATTACATTTATAAATATAGTTAGTAATAACATAACCAGTTAATTATTTCCATTTTTGGCGGCAAAATAGTTTAAACTGTGAGATCCAAAACATGTGAAATAATTGTAGCCTTTAATTTTTTTTCTTCTTTTATTTCTATTCTAGATTTTGATTTTAGTTTTGTCAAAATTGTATAAATAGCATATATTGTATATAATTGTACAAAATAGTATAAAAATACTTCAACTTTTAATATTCTGTCTATCCGTATTAATATTTTTGATTTTATACATAACTTATATGCATAATCAGAAAAACACACAACTTATACAAAATAAAAAAAAAAAAACAGTAATATAGAGGTATCACTTTAGATTAAAAGATTTTTAAGTGATTTTCTATATTTTATAATTCTTTTTATTTTATGTTTTTCTAATTTATTTCTTTTTCCTTCATCTCTTTCATATATAAATTTTTTTATGAATAATTACTTATAATTAATTAGAATCACAAGTAAACAAAAGAAATATACGTATTCCTTCAAATCGCAAATGAACATCATTAAAGAACTACGTTTTAAAAATTCAATGCTTTGTATATTCAATAAATTTTTTTAGCACAATTGGAATATTATTATCTGTATCTAAGTCTAAAATTTATTAATAAATTTTTTCTTCAAGGAAAAAAAAGATACATACTCGAGGTCCGTATGGACTATCAGTTATAGTACACTGATATAAACATTGAACTAGAGGATTTTTTAAACTTGCATAAGTACGAGAACTACAAAAGCCGATGGGATAGATGCATTGCTCTGAATGATACCCAGGTCTATCAGTTACAATCTGTAAAAAAAATGCAGAAACAATTTAATGCTAACTCTAAAAAATTTGTGTTACACGTATTCCACACACTGCATGAATAATACATTTTGATGTAATTAAGCATGCAAATTAAAATTTTTAAAAGACTGCCCATTTTATATTTTTACCCTTAATTTCTTTATTAATTTCTTTTACACTTCAGGAGAGAGTTGAGTAATCCTTGATTATGTGGAAATTAATTCAGCTTTTTAGCATACAAACTCAGAATTACATTATACTAGTCAAGAAGAAGGATCTACCACACTGGCATGTTGTTGTTAATTTATTCAGGTGTTCGTGTAGATTCTACTATTTTTTACTATGTGAGTTCTATAATGTTCTCCTTCTTTGAAGATATCCTTATTTATGGGACATTAGAGTTAAAAATAAATATTTTAGTCCAGCTTACATTTCCTAAAGAGTCATACCCTAAAAAACAATAAGGAGTTCATCAAATAGTAGCTATGTTCAGCTTTGTTTTGATAACCTTAGACCAAGTACTAGATAGATGTATGTCAGTGCAGAGTCCATATCCTACATTCAAGGGAGAATAAAAGTTTTTTACGAGTCCTAGGACAAAACTTACTGTGGGTCCCTTTTTCAAAGCAAGAAAAGCCTATTCGTCATTGAACAGCCAACCCAATTTTTGGGTTTACGACTACTAATGTTCAACTATGTAGCCTTGTAATTTTGAACCCAATCCAGAAGACAAGGGAACTCTTGGATCAAGTATTGTGAGAAATTTGCCTTTGTGGAGGACTGTTTGATGGAAGTAACCTGCATTTGCGTTACATGGGGAGGAAGATCACAAGAACCTCCCACAATTAGCCTCACGGCAAGGGGGTTCTAACCCATGATCCGTCTACCACTGAGGATATTTCACGTCAGCACTGTGGTTGGTGCAAGCCGGATGTGGAAATCGTATCGACCAGCCATCGCTGGGATCGAAACCCGGTTCACCTCATTGGAAGGCAAACGCTCTATCTCCTGAGCCATCGCGGCTCTATTTTTATATTTTGTAGAATTTTTGAAGATCTTTTATATAAAAACGCAGTTTTAATATAGATATAATGAAATTCTTCGCAATTAAAAAAAAGTAATCAGCACTATGTTTCATGAAAGAAATTTCTATCAAGATCTCAGCAGTCTCGGGCATCAGGAAAAAAATGTCACTCACTCTCCCATTTTTGAGTATGGCATTGACGATATTACAAGTAAATTATCTGCATTATTTTAAATTGTCATACAAAATAGAAATGCCTGCTTTTTTAAAAATTTTTTTTACTGAAATTCTAGTGTTTCTAAATTTTCCATAGAATTAGCATGTGTACCCGATTTTACCCCTTAGTGGGGTAAGACCAGGTGACTTGAAATTTTCTAGAAGAAAAAAAAACTATTTATAAAAAAAAGAAGCACATTCATGACTTTTCAGGAATGCTATATTGCATGCAACTAAACAATGAATATCTTGATTAAATCTGACAGTTTCTAGGTCAAGCAGTTCAGCTTTAACAAGCTGTCAAATCTTAGCTACCTGATATTACCATACTTTCCCCTAAATACAAAATCTTAAACATTTAGAAGTTAAGATTGTTCAAAATTTTTACTCTCTTTACACATTTATATATAATATGTTTAAATATTTGTTCAATCATGTTGAAATAAATAGCTGGATGTTTTTATTTTCAGAAAAAATTATTTAAAAAAAAATCAGGTAAAAACAACTTCCCTGTTATGATAAATAAAATGATAACTTAGTGATCACTAAATTTACATAGATTACATGCAAATAATCTTTTCTTAAATCAGCAAAATAGAGCAATTAAATTTTAAATATTTAAGCACTGCCTGTGAGCAACAGTATGACAACACAATCTGGCTAAAAAATAAAATTAAATTATAGGTAAAAACAAAGCATTTCATTTTTATATAAATAAAATTTTTTTTTAAAAATAAGAATCAAAATAAAATATTTAAAACAATGCTGATAAAACAAACTTACTACTCCCAAACTGTGTATTGTCAAAGGTCCTAAAATAATAGGAAATATAGGACGCCCAGCAGCATCTAAAGGTATTTGCATTATAATCCGTTTATCAGCTGCAGCTTTCTTCTTTTTAGGTCTAGGTTTTGCACCTTGTTCTACAAAAAATAAGCAATTAATTTATTATTGAATGCAAACAAACAGTAAATAATTTAAGTATTTTTGCAGATCAAAACTATTAGACACTTTCTAATGTTATTTACATAGGGACACAACTTTTCTTCCAAGTATGGATATGAAAGATTTTATCAACAAAGATTTCAGAAATGGTGTGCTTATGCAAATCATGTTGAAATTGTAAGAAACTGGTAACACCATATAACTAAATATAGTTTGTTATGTAAAAGTGATAAAACATACAGTCATATAAAATAGAGTTTCTAAAGAAATTTAAAAGCATTTTTACAATGCATTTGAACTACAGTAGACTCTCAAAAATTTACAAACCTAAAACCCACCATCTTCCAAAATCTGCAATGACTGATAAATTGGTGATTAAAATTTAAACATGAAAACAAGATTCTAACGTTAAAAATTTAATTTTATAGTAAAAAAAAAAACACTGACTGGTAAACTGGTGGTTAAAATTTAAACTGGTCAATAAAATTTAATTATAAAAAAATGACTCTAATGCTTAAAAATTTACTTTTATATTAAAAAAAAAAAGAAATATTACTTTGTGCATTTTAAACCATTGTTTTATTTTTAACAAATAAAAATCACGTTTGTACAGGTCTATACATTTATAAATGACCCCAATGCATTTATATGGGCACAGAAAAGGCAAGTTAGTTTAATAGTTGCGGCTGGGATACAAGACAGGGTCCACACATATAGACTAATTCAGTCTCATTCTTCAACTATCTGATATATTTAAAGAAACCTAGAAAAAGGATTAAAATATTTAATAATCAAAAACAAATTGTTATCAATTAAAAAGGCCCAGTGAAAATAAAAACACATAAAGAATCTAAAATTTGCTAATTTCTAGAACCAACAGATCATCTGGTTCAATGTAATGCAGAATTTAGACAGTCTACTGGATATTAGTACTCTTTTTTTAAAGTCGATTGATAAGGCCTCTTCCCCTCTTTTATAATATATATAAAATTTTGTAGCCAAAAATGTATGTAAAAATAAAGATTAAAAATTATAAAAAATATTGAATAATTATAGTAAATTAATAAGTAGTTTAAGGTAATAATAAGCAAAATTACCTTAAACATTTATGATAAGCAAGAAATAACTAACCTATATATTTGGAGAAAAAAAATTTCAGGCTTTTAAAAGTGGATATTTCTTAAATGCTTTAACTAATAGAAGCAATTTAGAAATAACACTAACTGCACATTTAACCAACATAAAGGAAAAAAATTGATATACCATAAAGAGCTAAGTATTTAAAACACTTAATAGTCTTTAATATTTAATTTAAAAGGAAACGCCTGTGAAGAGTAAAAGAAAATAACAAATTTCCCTAAGAAATTACCAGCATTTTTAGGTGGTGGTCGTTTTTTAGTAGGGTTCTTTTTCTTTGGTTGATCAGCAGCATCACCATTCATATTCTTAGCCAAAGTTGATGTAACATTATTCACACCCATAGAAGTATTAGTTTGAGCTGAACCATCTTTTGATGATTGAAAACTTTGAAATTTTTTCAATAGAAACCTTAAAGACAAGAATATATTATGTAACATAATTTCTGATATGTTGAAGAGAACATAAAAACAAACAGCAACATAATCAGTACATTGTCACTTTTTTATACAAGTGAATTTTTCAAATCTATCTGTGTAAACTTATAAGATGACCACATCAGTACAATAATCAACAATAGTATAACATCAGCATAATGTTGTTTGAAGCAATCAGAGCCTACGTTAACTATTCGCCACTGCACGAACATTGCATAGCCAATTAGAATTATATTAAGTATAGATAATATAAGCAATAAGAGAGATTACATAAGTAAATTTTCGTTCTGTTTTTTTAATACAGTTATTACTATTGATTTTGACATAGCTTTTAAAATCCGATATTTTTAATATGATATTATATACTACAACAACTGAATTTCAAAATGAAAACACGCATTTAGTACCCCCTTTTTGTAGAGTCCGATGAAAGTGATTTCGCCGTCTTTCTCTTTTTTCGGTAGTTACTGCTACGGATTTCAAGTTTTTTTTTAATTATTATTTTTTTTAAAAAAATCTGATGCAATGATGACTTATAAAATGCAAAAAAGGAAATAATTAGTGTATTCCCCCCCCCCTACAAAATGCAGGAATATTACATATAATATTAGGAAAAAAAATTATATATTCAATTCAAAAACTTTTTTTATTTGATTCAAATTTTTTTGTTTTGAAGTTTAAATTTTTGTTACTTTAAATTCGTAACATGTATGTTTGTTATTTTTAAAAGTATCCAGCAGAAAGATATTAGTATTTGAGAGGTATGTTGCAGAAAGCCTGAAAAAATTCTGTCACAGGGATTGTAACACAGTTTGATAAATTATTGTATCTCTATCATACGAAAGTAGGATAATAATTATGGCGGTAAGAAGTCACATTTTTGGTGGGTAGTGGAGGTAGCCTCATATTATTATTAAGCATATTTTTTGCCGCATCGGGTACATTTTAATTCGTTACGAAGGTGGGAAATTTATCTCAGGAAAATAAATAAAATCATTTAAGCAAAATTTATTTATTATCTTTGTAAATCTTATTATAAAGAATATAGCCATAGTTTTAAAATTATAAAATAGATAAAGGATCATGAGAATTAGTATAATGCTGCAACTGAAATATTTTTGTGGTTAGAGAAATAAAGAATATTTATATTTTGATGTCCGATTTAGTCGCGACTGTGAATTAATGAGGTTTACATTTGCATTTAAATAAAATGTTAGCCGTGGCATTGATTATTAAAAAAATAAAAAAATATTTATATTAACTTTTTATAAAATGTAATAAACATTAAATAATTGGTGCAATATTAATTAAATTCAATTAAGAATGTTTCAAAAAATAAATTTAAGAAATTTTAAAAGCTAGGAAATAAGTAATGCTTATTATGGCATCATAGTTTATGTGAGGTTAAATAAAGAAAAATTATTTCAATCGTAATTATACATATATATATATATATATATATATTTTAAAATTCAATTAGTTTTTATAACTGCTTCATAATCCAAGATCTTCAATTTTGTGTGGTACTATCATAGATTATCATAGATTATATAATCATAGATAGAATCATATAATCATAGATTAAAAATTACTTAAACATAAAAAAAACTTTTTTAAAAATAAATAAATAAAGTTTCAACCTTAATAGCATACATTTTAAAGTTACAAAACTGCAATAGATTACAATAAAGGCATGATATAACGAAAGTATTTACTTCCGCTCTTCTTTTGCTACAGCTAATTTTTCTTGCATTTTAGCCACTTCATCACAAAGAGCAGCATTTTCCTAATATTAATGAGAAAAAAAATTTAACATTCAGATAATTCAAATCAATGTATTAAATAATAATCATCATTATAAACAAAATATAAATATGTATTTTAGGGTAACGAATAACAAAAATAAATTTTATTTAAAAACAAAATATTATTATAGAAGTTGCATAAATTTAACATAAAAAAGAGAAGACTAGAAAATTATATAACAATAAGTGACTTTATGAAGCATTTTACATCATAAGTAATTTAAAGTTGCATAATCAATCGAGATAATTTAAAACCAATCTGTCCATACAGAAGCATTGACTAATATCAGAATATGACTTAAAGCTTCTAAATCTGACAGATAAGATCTAAATCTGACAAAAATAAAAATTAATTAAGATTGTTTGTAAAAGGTGAATTTTAGTGAAATTGTGAGAAATCTACTCATATTTTTGTGAAAATGAGTGAATTAGTGAGAAAATTCTCCGAAATGAGTAAGCTTAGATATTTAATAAAATCTGATTCTGTATAAAATCTGCAACTGATTCTGTGAATTTGAAAAAAATAGGATCTTAATTTTTCACAAAAACCAGTGGTTTACTCAGTCATTTTGTGAAAGTTCAGTTTTTATAAAAATTCTATTCACAATTAAAGTCCTGATTTTATGATATACATATACAAAACCATGTCTTTTAAAGAGTGCTAGTTTAAAAATTACAATAGAAAGATATGGCTGACTCTGTCATTTAAAAGACAAGTTTGTGAAGTGTTTATTTTTATAGTAAAACATTTTGTAAAAGGTAGTTAACAGACACAAATTTCTTTTAAAATGATCCCAAAAGCTAACATGAATCATTAGCACCATAAATAATCACAGTTGGATTATTTGATTTCTTATAATCATCACAGAGAAGGTTTATTTAAACGAAATTACTCTAATTTTTTATAACTGTCATATGCTAGGATATATTTATAGTTATTTAAGTAATATAAATATAAATTGAGACTCTGAATTACTTACAAAGATAAAAGCTTTGACAGACTTTTTTAATTTTTTATACTTTTCTCGATAGACGTCATTATTAATCCGTTCTGCTCGCTTTTCATTTATTGTAGGCTTATTAGAGTTAAAAAAAGGTGAAACGTTGCTTTCTTGCTCTGAAGATGAAGGAATAACGACATTTCGTCCTAAATGAGGACTATCACCAGTAGACACAAATTCATTAAAAAGATCAGGATCCATTATTATACTAAAATTAACTGAAACATTATGGTTGAACTTGTGTGCTTAGGACCAGACAAAAGAGATTATCAGATTTAAATAAAGAATGTCAATCTAGAACATTATGATAAAAAAAAGAATGGGGGATATTTGGATTTAAAATAATATTTTGAGGAATGAAATAAATTTTTCCCAGAAGAAATCTATGCTTTACAGAATCAGCGTCGATCCCAAGCAATTGTTTGTTTTTGTTTACTATTTCGATTGATAGAAAAATTGATTTTTTAAAATCATCAACCAAACAATAAAGAGTCTTGTTTTACTTCACTTCACAATTTTTTGCAATGAATATCAATTGAAATATTTGTATATTTCAGATTGGCATCAAAACAATAGAATGATTCCGTAGTTTGTTTTGAAAACTGTCAAGTCCTCATGAACTCTTTCTCCGAGTACTTCATAAGTTAATAAATTATTAGATTAAAAATTATGATCATGGAAATCGAAAGTAGTGAAACAGTAGTAACTGAACTTAGCGGAAGGAAAAAGAAGAAGTTATTCGTAAAATTAAGAACTCAAGTAAATTACAATAATTAATAAATTGCAATAATTATAATAAGTTCATAATTTTTGTTTTCGTTGTGATAATTAATTTTCAAAATATGTTTCTATTTTTAAAATTTAACGCATGATTGTCTTCTACAATTTCATTAAATAACTTTTGTTCGCTTATTTATTTTTACAAAATAGCCTTTTTTTATTTAAAGTTTTGATGGTATTTAAATATCTGTTCTAATGAAATATTGTTAACAGAATTATTTAGTTTTGCTATATTAAACTAAAATTATTTTTATTCTTTAAAATTTCCTTTTTTTAAAACTACAATAGTTTTGAAAAGTAATAATTTATACTTAACTCTTCAGTATCAGTAGGTCCTATAATAAAAATAGTTACATTGACATAAAGCTTATGTCTATTAGCCTATAATAATTTTTTTTTTAATATTGGATATCACTTATGTTTTTCAGATGGAGTTTTATTTTAGTGATTCAAATTTGGCAAAAGACAAATTTTTATACAATCTTATAAGCCAGGATGAAGATGGCTGTAAGTTATTTACTATTTATATTTTTTTAATATTAAATTTAGATTATATCTAATTGTTTGCATTTATTAAAAACTGTAGTTTTTGTACTGAAAAATGTCGAAATTTCGAAGCTCTTATATCTTACATATACCAATTATTAACCAAATCTAAAATGATTGGTAATCTAGTGTTCATTCTAGACCTTAAAAAGGGCAGGGTGCTAGAAACTGGAAAGTGCACTATTTCCCCTCATAAAAAAAGGTATTTATCACAATAAAGGATTTTGGTCCGAAATATTTGCATAGGGTTTTTAACACCCAAAATATACTAAGTTCTTTATTTTAAAATTAAAAAAAAAATTCCTTATTTTAAATAGAATTAATTTAGAATAATTATAATTTTTCAATGCAATTTTAACATTCTATAAATTGGTTTTAAAGTAAGCGTAATTCTGGAATCTTGAAAAAAATGCATGTCGTAATGATAATGTATTAAGAATATTACGATTTGAAAATGATATTGAAATGAATGCGAAAAATGATTAGTAATTGTAAATCAAACGTTTTTCATTTATCTGCAACTCTTGCAACTATTGTTTCAGTATAGATTTCTTACATGTTTATTGTTTTGTTGGCTGTTTTGCTTACTTATGTATCAAATAGCTCAAACAATATTTTATAATATTGGTAACAAAAAGTTTTATTATTAAAAAGTAAAATTTTTATTAAAAATCATTTCCAAGAGAATTGACATTACAAATGCAAATGATTTTCTTTTATAAAAAAAAAGTTAAATTTCAGTGCTGGAAATGCACTATATGCACTGCCAAATAAATATTATGAAAATTTACTAAAATTCCTACTGAATTTAACTTACTTACTGAATTTAGCGTTTTATGGTGGTTAATTGTTAGATTGTCAGCTAGATAAATAATTTCTATTGTTTCAACTTTCAGATGTTGATTTAGAAGTATTTAAATCCTTCAATAAAATAAAGGCTTTGTCAGAAGATATGCATGTTTTAGCTGCATCTTTGTCAAAATCCTCCATTCTGGAAGTAAGTTAACCAAATAAAAGTTTCCTTAATTTATCTTTTTGCTTTTTTGTTAAATTATAATTTTTTGTCATGACAGACTCAATGCTGCCAGAACACACTCTAGGACTCAAGAAGCGCTATGGGTGACATACACCTCATGATGTGATAGAGCTGCTTTCAGGGGTGTGTTAAGGGTTTTAGCAGCCCTGGGCGAAACATTGAGACATTTATTCATGGTTAATAAAAGTCCTGTTTTGTTTAACTATGAACAATAGAGTCTTGATTGTTCGAGTTATCTTTAAATCTGAGCTAGCGAAAAAAAATCAGTCTTGCCTCTAAACAGTGACCAACACACACAACAAGTGGATTGATTACTATGATTTGTTTTTTTTGACGATTAAACAATTACTATGGCTGGATATTGAAAAACAAATTTGTGTATGGGTGTGTACTGAACATATTTGTGTACTGAAACATCTGAACAGTGTGTTTAAACGAAAAACATTAGACAATTAATTTAAAGTATATAATGAACCTGATGCAGTAATAATAATGAATATTGTAACTTGGTATAATGCAATAAATGTACCCCGAACATCTAATGTAAATACATTTTCTTTAAATATAATATATTTCTCAATTAAATACTGAAATTTAAAAACGACTTTGTTTATATTTATTAAAATATTTTTTAAATTAAAGTTTGAGGAAGCCTTGGTCCCATCCACCTCGATTTATTGAGACTCTACAGTGGATATTAAACATTGTTTTTTGTTAATAAATAGTTTAGTAATATTATTATTTAATTATTGCAACTTAATTACTGAATAAATTAAATCAGTTAATATATTTTTTTTTTATCAAACTAAAAGCATTAATGTATTGCAAAGGCAGATAACCATATTGTCAAATGAAACGAGAATTAAGAACAGTACATTTAAAAAAAGAAAAGTTTTTCTTTACAGAACAATTTGTCACTTTTTATTAGCAAGTAAATACCCTAACTATATATTTGATATATTTAAAATTACTTCTATTGAAAAAAATGTGTATAAAATTTAATGGGTATAACTGAAAACTATTTAATGATAATAAAACATCAAATTATTTTATTTACCACATTGAGCACGTTAAAATATGAAATGAATAATGAAAAATTATAAATTAAAAGTTACATTTTTATCTACATTTGAGCTCTTGAATGAAAAAAAAAGATATTTCATTTCTGAATTTATTTATTGCTTAATTATGTGAATAAAACATTTATTATCAATGAAATTTAATAGGGTTTATTATGACAGCCATAAGTATAATACATTAGATAATACAACATTGTATAAATAATATTTTTTCGATAAATCCATTATTCAATCTTTCCTGCTTTTTATTTTTCTTCATATTTTCCGTAGCAGCTCTTAGGGATTTCCCTTCACACACACACGCTTACAAATTGTCAGTAGTTGAAATTTTTAATACAATTAGTTTCTATGGCATGAAAGTTGACGAAAAGTTTCATATCGTCATTTTTCAAAATTACACTCCTGGTATAAAGGAACGTTAACTGAAATACAATTAGACACATTTGGAAATGTAATTTAGAATAACTCATTTGGGGCCAAAAAGTAGTAAAAATATATTCAAGATTTAGCAAATGTGTAGAAAACTTGTAATATAACTATTAATCAGTCCTGAATTTTTGTCGAACCTGAGCAGTTGCCACTTCCTAAGTACGGCCCTGGCCGCTTTACAAACAAACCGTGTGTTACATGTTTATATTTTGTGGTTGATTACCTTGACTTTCTCTTATTATACTGGAAATAAAGTAATGTATTGAATAGTTTATTTTCGGGTTATTATCACCTTATTTTGATGAATAAGAATACTTCATATTTATTTGCGAATGAGTGAGAGAAAACCTTTTCATGAATTATTTGTTTTTATGTCCACTGTTATATTATTTTTAAAAGTGATCCATAATTTTCCATTTTAGTTGAATGAAAATAAATCCAGAGTGAGACGCAGGACATCAATTCAAATGTCCAAGGATTTTGATGCCTGCACTCTCTATGTAGAGGGATTACCACATTACGCAGATCTCAAGTGGATCAAAAATGTCTTTGATCATTTTGGTACAGTGGAGTATATAAATATTCCTCGCTTTAATGTTTCTCACAAAATAAAAGGTTTTGCATTTATAGAGTTTAGCAACCCAGAAAGTGTTAAGAAAGCTTGTCAGGTAAAGTGTTCTGTATAGTGTAAAATAAAATTTTCACCTTATTTTGATTTATTTATTGACTGTCACGAACAATATAGTAGAACCTCGATTATCTGAAACCTTTATAACTAGGAGTATGTCAAAAAATTGAAATTTTCAGATACTGATCATCGGAGAATTTTTTGAAGTCGCTCTTTTATGTCTATAAACATCAAACTATGGGTAAAATTAAGTAGTGATTAAAGTTTGATTAAAAAGCAATGCGTGTGTTGTATTTTTTTAATCATAATTAATAATACAATATCATGAAAAAAATTCTATATTTTTGTTTTCTTTTTGTCATTTTCAAGCAAAAAGTTTTGAAACCATTTAACCAATTCAGTTAATATGTCTTTTGATTTACCCGAATTATAGTCCTACTAACACATTTTATTTATCACAAAATCAAGATTGTCTGATACAGATAATCGGAAAATTTTTTCAAGTTGATTTAGGTTTATGAACAACAAACTAAGGGTAAAGTTACTGAAATTAAGTAGTGATTAAAATTAATAAAAAGCAATGCTTGTGTTTTTTTATTGAATCATAATGAATGATGCAATATTGTGAAAAAAAATTATCATTTTTGCTTTCTGTGTAATTGTCATTTTCTATCAACCAGATTTTGAGTTTGGTGTCACAACAAAATATAGGAAACATCGGCTTCTTCACATTTTTTAAACCGTTTAACACATTTAGTAAACATATCTTTTGATTTACTTGAGTTATAATTCTTCTAACACATTATATTCATCATTGTTGGAATTATTAGATTCAGGTGTTATTTCATTTTCAAGAAACACTACAGATACCCATCCCTTATATAGTAACTTAACCTATCTAAGAAATCATCTTTAAGAAATCATCATTATTTTCTCGGCTGGGATTTCGTATGTCAATTTAAAAAAAAAATTGGCGCATTATAGTTTCCTGTTGTGGTCTTTGGCAATGAGGAGACAAATGCACTAGCAAAGTAGGCCTTGTTTTTACCACATCATTTCCGCTTCCCTTTTAGAAACTATAAATCATTGATCAAGACCATATCTAAGGATATTAGGAAACCCCACTATACTGAATTTGGTACCCCAAAAAAGTATGTTGACCAACCATTATTATCTCCAGCAGCATCTCAATATAATCTGTGTAACAACTTTTGTCTCAAGACTTCTCAGTGTGGATGGATCTATGAATGGACAGCCTCTCTTAATTTCCCTCAAATAAAAAGATGTTGACAGTGGAGATACTTCTCCTTTGATACTTTGTATTTATATTGCCCAGCATATGACCCAAACAGGGTGTAGGATTAAAAAAATTTTAAAAAAAATCATTTTTTCATGCACCTTTTCCCTTTTAGGATTTATTTTATAGTTTTTTTTTTAAATTCTTTGCAAAGTTTTTTAAAACTACTCCAGGTTTTAGCTAAATTGAAAAGTGCATCTGTTACTTTTTTTAACTGTTTCTTCTGAACCAAACTCACTGGCACAACAGCCCATGGAGTGCTATGACATACCATGCCCATTATAGTTTTCTCGACCTTCAGATTTGGGGCAGGAAAAAATGTTCCGGTTGGGTGGTCTGCCAAATGTGGAATCCTTAGTGTTTAGTCCCCAAGCATGATTGGTACTCATTTTACTGATCTAATGAAGGAGTGAAAAGCTGAGACAACCTTGCCCAGTCCAAGAATAGAACCATAGATCTGTGGTATGATAAAATGTCCATCAAATGTTTTTAACCCTCCAAGCATTGAGCCCCTGGGTAAAATTGTACTAAACTTTTTCTACTAAGTACTGTTTTCCCCTTTGAGTAACCTGGAGAAACAGATTTTTGGATTCAGAAAAATCTCCACCTGATAGTTCGGCAAAAGTCGGAACGAACGTTGAGAAGGTTAATGCTTTTCACATGATCAGGCATCGGATAATCGGGGTTCTACTGTAGTTACACATTGTATTGTTCCTTTTTTTAATTTTAAATATGTATTATTTTAGTTTTACAAGAACTCAACAGATTTGGAGAATGGTTCTAGCAAAAAAGAGAGCTCTGATTTAAAAGAAAGTATGTTTGATAAGGAACTTATTTACTTATTGTTTAAAAATTTAAAGAAAAAAAGATTATGTAAACTAACATGTTAAAAATCTTTTTTTTTTTTTTTACTTTTGTACCAAGGAAAAACTATTTTGAATAACTTGAAATGTATTGACACAGTTTATACTCCAGCATTTAACAGCTTTTTAGTTCAGACATGAAATTGTTCTTAGAATTTCACTTTTTCTGTATTTTTATTTATTTTTTAATCTTTTTTATCACTTTTTGATTTATTGTTACATTAGCTTTTAAGTTTAAATTTACCAAGCTGCCACAAAATTTTCTATTGAACCAATTTTGAAAATGTTTAAGACTAATCACTTAAAATTTTAAATTTAAAGATTGATAAAGATTTAGGTCAGGAGCCAGTAATTTTAGTTACTTAATGTTGCTTATTAGGGAATCAAATTTATGATTCAAATTTATGAAGTTAAATGTTTCATCAATTAAATTAACTTTCGGTGGTTTTTTTTTCTATCTATGTTGTTTATATTACTTTATTGTTTTATTTGTGTTTTGAATTGTCTGAATATTTTCATTTTGTTTTAATTTGTTAATTTTATTCATAAGAAGTCTCTGAAGAAGTTAAGCCCACAGCTGAAGTTACAAACAAACGGAAACTTGAAGATAATGAGGACAGTGGTGTAACATTAAAGAAACCAAAGATAGATGAAGAAAATTTAAAAACTCTTGAAAGTGACATTAAAAACAAACAAGCAGGAGATGAAAAAATTAACGAAGATAATTCAAGCCAAGACTCTTCTAAATTACAAGAAAATAACATTTCTGCACAAGTAAGGATAATTTGTTAGTTTCAAAAGCATTTGTTAATTTTGATCTGTGGAACAAATTTTTAAGCATACAACTTGTAAATTGTTTTTCATCATTATTCATTTATAGTTAGTCATTTCTTTTTGTAATAGAAAAAAAAAAACTCTTTTGAGACATTATCACTGCATGCAATTCACATATGCGATCGCATGTAAATGCAATTTGCGCAATTATAAGCAGTTTGTCTTACCTGTAGTGTAACATAAGCAAACATACAATCAGTGTTTTTCTTTTGTGGGATATCTATGTTTTAAAAATTACAGTTTTTTTCACATAATATTAGGCTCATACTTAGAAAGATATGAAAAAATCTTCTTGAGTGCTGTAATCTTTTTTCAAATTGTTTTAAATTTTGTAATATTGTTTTTTTTTCAGGAGTCTACTGTTGAAGAGCCATCCAGTAAATCAAAGAAAAAGAGATCCCATTCTAAAAAAAATCATAATCGTCATGAACGACCTACCTTACGAGTGATGTCTAAGTAATTTATATTTTATAAATTATTTTAACTGTGGTTTAATACCAGCCTCCTTACTATGCAAATGTTTATGTTTTTTTTTTCTTCCAAGATAGGAGTTGGAAGAAATTTACTCCTTTTATGTATGTGAAAATTTCCTGAACTATTAAAAATAATTTTAAAATCTCTAATTTAAATGGGAATTATTTGAGACATACTTAGAGAAGATTAAAAAAAAAAACTTTTAGTTTCCACATCTATGTTTTGATTGAATTAAATATCATTGTTGAACAAATTGTATTCTTTAGGAAAAATACTCTTACCTCTTATAGCAGATTTTGAAATGCAGTGCAGTTTCAAGTAATCATTGCAGACAATAAGTTATCTTCTTTATTAGTCAACATATATAAAAATCACAATCATCGCCACACTTATAAATTCAAAAAATATTATACAATCTGATCATCAGGCAGTCCTTTCTTCTTTTTGTTTTAAAATGAACATTACTTTTCTAAATTAAGAAATATTTTATGCCGGTCAGACTGAAGAGCTATGGGATTTGCCAGAATTCCAAGTCCTCAAGCCGCAATTTTTAAATCTCAAGTAATTAATAGAGAAATAATATTGCCAAAAAGAAACCAACCTTGCGTTTTTGGCATTAAATGATAAAAATTAATCACTGAAACAGACCGTTAGAATTAATATATCCCAGTAACCGAAACATTTTGGCTGAAATAAAGCAGCTTAAAGAAAGTAAGTTTTAAAATAGATTTTGATACATAGTTTAATAACCTTGAATAATAAATTATTATGTGATTCAGCTGAATAAAAAAAGTTATTTGGGACATTTTTTGAGAAATGAAAAGTTAGTAATGATCACATTTGCTCTTGATGAAATTGAGTAAAAATTAATTAATGATGACTAATTAAATATGAAAAATAAATTTTATGAAAAAGAAAATATTACATTACTAAGTAATATATAATGTCTATAACAGTACAACAGTAATAAATTTGGGATGATGAGTAACTTGTTTGTATTTTAATGTCTAATATTTAGAAGTTTATTTGAATAAGAATATGTAATAATAAAAAAAAAACTTCATATTTGAATTACAGGATTAAGGTTGTCTTGAGTTGCCTGATAAAAAGTATTTTGTCATGATATTAAGCTTTTTGCTTGATATTCCTGACTTTAGTTCTTCAGAGCCAATTTTTTACAAATGCAAATACTTAATAAAAAATTTGTACTTTTTAAATTTGAATTCTATTCATTTTAAATTATAATGCTAATAAAAACCTCAAATATTTTAATTGATACTGTTTTTTTATTGCAATAATTATGTAAATATTTGTTATGTATTTTTCTGAGACTGTTATGAGTTATTTAATAATCATTAATAAAATTATGTTGGGAACAGTTAAGACTTTTTGTTCTAAACAAAGTATTACTGAAATAAAAAATAGACTTTATTATTTTATTTTGGCCATAGAGCTTGTCTTTATTATACTTAAGTATAGCAAATCATACTTCTTTTCAGTTTGTTATTTGACCTTTTTAAATGTAATCTGGTTATGGTGTACTATTACAAAAAATGCTCAGGTTTTTTTCTAAATATTTTGAAAAGTGTCCCGATTTTCCTTCAGCCCTTCATGAGGCCTGATATTTTTTGGGTTAATTTGTTGATACGTGACATTTTATATTTTTAGGTCTGAATGGAAAGCATACCGTAACAAATATTTAGATTTGCAAAGAACAACAATGTCTTATCTAAAAAAGCAAATTCTTTTAGAATGCCAAGAGATGAGAGAACAAGAAACTGAACCTATACCCAAAAAAGAGTTAAAATTCCAACCAGGAGTTATACTAAAAATCTTATTAGCAAATCCCATTGAAAATTCAACTGAAATGAAAGTAGGTATAAAAATTATAAATTACTGTCATGTTTAAAATTTTAATAGTTTTTAAACTGTAAATGATCTTATGGAAATATGTTATATTCTATGCCAGTGGTTGGCAAGCTTAGTAGTCAACTGAACTAATTATCAACAGTGATTAAAATATCATGTGAGAGCAACATTTTTTAAACTTAAATTATATTAGTGAGCATGTTCTTATTCACTTAATTAGGTCAGTGTTTCTCTTGTCAGGACATTTGCCCTGAAACAGTACAGTGGCTGGTTATCAATATGTCAATAAAAAAAATCTTTCTAGAATCAGCATAAAAGCAATTTGAACGGGATACATCAAATAATGTAACAATGAACCGTTGTGTCAAAATATCAAGATTTTTAGTTTCTGTATAATTGGCTGTGTGTATTGGAGTCAGCTAAATGTTTAGAATCTCCAATGATTTAATGTACAATTAAATTATATTGTACAAATTCATGTAATGTTACGAAAAGCAATAATAATTAAGTATTTTTGATAATGTTGTGTGTAAGTTGTTAGAAAATATTTAACTTTCTATTAAAATCTAAGGTACAATTTTCTTATTTTTGTATTTTACCCCTAAGTAAACCTTTGTAAAACCAAATCAGCTGAATTGTTACATATAATTTTTGCTATTATGGACGAAGACCGTAACACAAAAAGAGTTTTCAATGCCAGACTAGCTGGCACATGAAAAAGAGGAAGGCCGAAATTTGGGATGGATAGATTATCTAGAAAAAAACCTTGAGAAGGTCAAGGCTCACCCTGGACTGTTGGGCCATTGATGACGATGATGAAGGTCAGGTCAGAAATTAAAAGAAGTTTTCTGAATATTTTGAAACCTTATTGTTAATAAAAATGGTAACTAATCCAAGCCACCACTCCCATTAATAATATTAAATGAAGAAAATAGTGAATTAGATGAAGTCATGCAAAGAATTGAAGATAAAGAGCCCACAGTTTGTCCTAAAAAGATTTTCAAAAACAAAAAAGTAATAAAGATTCACTACAAGAACAACAATGATAAGCAAAATGCGGAGAAAACATTAACAGATTTGAATATAAAACATAAAGAAGCAAGACAAAGAAAATGGCATTTGATTTTGCTAGGTGTCCCTGCATATTTTAATAATGAAAAAATTAAAGAACATTTAAATGATATTGCAGGTATGAATTTAGATGAAGAAGATATTGAAGTTCTTAAGAGAAAATCCCAAAAGTACAACAACAACTTAGTCGACGTTAATATTAAACTCCATGCAAAACAAGCTTTAAATCTGCTAAAGAAAAAATACACATACATGGGCATCCGACGGGTCGTAATCAATAGACGAGCAATCATACTAAGATGCCATAATTGCCAAGCATTGGGTCATCACCAACACAACTGTGAACAAGATACAACATGTGCCAACTGCGGAAATAACCATAATACCGAAAATTGCGATGCCAACGAAGATTTCTGTATAAACTGTGATTTTAATAATCACAGATATAATACTAACTATTTACCTAATCACTGTGCCTCTGACGTAAGCTGTCCATCTTATAAATGGGCACTAAATGAGGAAATTAAGAGACTCAATATTTCTCCAGTTACAACACAAGAACCTAACCTACAGAATAAGTTTAATCAACTATATTAAATAAAACAAAGAAGAAGAAGAAGAAATTAGAACCTTTTTTACTCATTTGCAACTCTTTCTGATGAATCAACAAATCACAAATTATAATATTCCAATAATTGATAAAATATCAAGAAACACTATTAATCAACATGCAATACAGCAGCACTCAACAGTCATCCTACAAGCAAACCTTAGAAAATCCAGGCCACCAACAAGTCTACTTAATATAGCATATAAATGCTTCAAGCCAAACTTCATAATCACACAAGAACCTCACATCCAGAACAATACCATTACAGGAATACCAGCAAACTGGAAAAAATGGTCGAACAACATGAAATCTGGAATTATACACACAGGAGGTCCAGATAACCCAACATTAATTATGACAACGAATAACACCGTTTCCATAAAAACTAGAATTAATCAAGAAATAATTGTATTAATTTCAGCATACTCCTCACCTACAGAAGATATCATGATAACACTCAAAGAATTAGAACAGCAAATAAACAAAATAAAAAATATTCAATTTTACATAATAGCGGATCTAAATAGTCACAATAAAAATTGGGGCTACTCACATAACAATGGTAGAGGGAACAAAGTGCAAGATTTTATCACAGCAAGAAATCTCTTTTTACTCAATAAGCCTGACGATCCTCCAACTTTTGAAAACGGAACCTACATAGGATGGCCTGATTTAATGATCACCTCTTCAATACATCTTGCGAACATTTCAAACAGAACTGTACTTGAAAATGAAACTTTAAGTGATCATCGCTGGATTAACCTAATAATCGATAATTCAACAGAATATATTACCTTAAAGCGTTATAAAACCAATTATGGAGGTTTTACTAAATTTAAAAAACATTTAAGACCACTTCTCCCCACAATAAAACACTGCATATGTTCATCACAAAATAAAGATACTCTTGATACTGCAACGGATAACCTAATCAACACAATCATTGTTGCCTGCAATAAATCACTTAAAACAAAAAGCCATACGTTTGAACCCAAATTATCATGGTGGACTCAAAGCTTACAAATAAAGAAAAAAGAATTAAGAGCAATTAGAAAAAGATTACAAAGAACGCAAGAAACAGAAGATAAACAAAATATTACTAAACTATATAATAAAAAGAAAGCAGTATATTTCAAGGAAATTAAGAAAAACAAAATTAACTCGTGGAGAACTTTTTGCACAAACATGACCAAACCATTTGATAAGGCATACAAAGTAACTTTTAAAAATGGAGAGTATCCAACTAATTTAGTTGAGCAAGATGACATTGCATCATCCAAAAACAATGCTCTAAATATCCTACAAAAAATTTATAAAACAACTGAACAAAAAATTAATACGATACACAGCAATAACTCAAACAAAGACAAAATGTTCACACAAGAAGAACTAAATAGAGCTATAGCAACTCTACCGAAAAAGAAAGCTCCCGGAGTGGATGGAATAGACAATGAAATTCTAACAGTAGTTCACCAAACAGACGAAGAACTTTTCCTGTGCTTAGCCAACTCGTGTCTGCGTATAGGTTATTTTCCAAAAGCTCTTAAAGTAGGAAATCTGATTCTTTTCCTTAAAAAAGGAAAAGACAAACACAACATATTGAACTATAGACCTATTACACTTCTCCCTACAATTGGGAAATTAATAGAAAAATTAGTGACATCAAGGTTGATGTTTCACCTAGAGACAAACAGCCTACTAAGTGACAGACAATTTGGTTTCAGAAAAGGTAAATCAGTGGATGATCTTCTAATACAACTTTTTAGATACATAAAGAAACATAAAAATAAAGAAAAACATATGCTGCTACTCTCAGTAGACATTAAAGGAGCCTTTGACCATCTAAGGCATAATGATATACTTAATAGCCTTAATAATAAAAATTGTCCAAGTAACATCTTTAACATTTTTAAAAGCTTATTAACAGATAGACGAATTATGCTTCATACAGATGAAGGTATAGCTTCAATATCACAAACCATAGGAACTCCTCAGGGCTCGTGCAGTGGTCCTACCTCTTGGATTATCTTTGCTGATGAACCGTTACAATTCAACTGGACGGAGGCTACGCAAAACCTAAAACACCCCACAGAAGCAGACGTCCAACAATTCGCTTTTGCAGATGACTTCAGCTTCGTCATAACAGCTAAGACAGAATCAGATCTTGGCATCATAGTGACAAATACATTAAATATCTTAAACAGCTGGGCCACTATGCATGGTCTTGAAATCTCAAAAGAGAAAACTACATACATTTTGATTAAGAGCAAACTAGTAAACGGCCCTGTAATAAAGCTAAACAACACGAAAATAAAAAGATCCACTTCAGTAAATCTTTTAGGTCTTATAATTGATGAACAGATTAACTGGTCAGAACATATAACAACACAAGGAAATAAAGCATCTGCAAAACTTCAAGCAATCCAAAGAATAGCAGGAAGATCTTGGGGAATTAAAAGAGAGCATAGGCTAATTTTATATAAGGCATGTATAGTCAGAATGTTAGCACACGGTGCATCAATTTGGTGCTCAGAACCACAGCAATACTTAAAAGACAAGATTGACTCAGTACAAAGGAAGTTCCTACTAAATATAACAGGCGCATATAGGACAACTCCAACAAAAGCACTACAAGTTATCCTGGGTCTACCCCCTCTTCATCTAACATTGCAGCAAGAAGCAATTAGAATTAACTTGTTAAAAGATTCCTTTCACACAATTCTGATAGACGATTTAATTATAAGCAATAAAAAAATAGATACAAAAATCAACCTCCAGACAATTCATCCTGCAGACTTTAACTTAAATACAACGGGCAATATCCAAATAAAACAAAAAACTGATAAAAATAGAAGAATTAATATCTACACAGATGGCTCGAAGATGGAGGCAGGAACAGGAGCCGCCATAATAATCTTTGATGGCACGAAATCAAATACCATCAAAATGAAGTTTTTCAATTGGAACACTATTTTTCAAGCCAAAGCAAGAGCTATTTTAGAAGCAGTCCAAATAGCAAAAAATAACAGTAGAAATACAACAATTTGGACTGACAGTTTATCCGCCTTACATGCTATCAAAAATTACAACACAACGCATAATATTATTCAAAAAATCCAAAGTATTTTAATCAATCATCCACAATTAGAAATCTCCTGGATAAAAGCACATGCTGGTCATATGGGTAATGAGGAGGCAGATAAGGCAGCAAAGGAAGCAGTCACGGATAAAAATCTTACATCAACAAATTTGGGAATGCCCTTATCATATATTAAAAAGAAGGAAAAAGAATTCATTTTAAATTATTGGCAACAACTGTGGATCGCACACAAGTACGGAAGAACGACTTACGAAATTCTTCCAAAAGTTTCTTTTAAAAATAGTAAATGGCCCAAAGAATTAATAATGTTCATAACTGAGCATGGTCCCTTTAGGACATACTTGAAACGCTTTCAGTTGTCAAGACATAAACTCTGCAGTTGTGGAGAAATTGGTTCACCACTACACTACGCTACAAAATGCCTGTTAACAGAATCCTATCACTTTAAAATCCCCATGGAACAAAACATTATAGCCTGGAAAAAACAAATTATTAGTAATAAAACTCTTATAAATAAACTAATTAACTTAATTAACTTCATACAGAATTATGAACAATTTCTAACGCCAAGCTAAAGTTTACTACTCTCCGACTAATAATCAATATAAAAACACATCCACCTGCAATGCTATCCATTACTATAGTGTTAAAACCTTATGCTACCCAGGTTATCATATTAATCAACCCATATAATTTCTAAATTCCTAACATTAATTTGTTTTAAATTTTCATGTCATGATTTTAACAGTATGCTCAAACATAGTTTCGGTTCATACAGTGAATGAAATTATTACCACTTGTATTAAATTATGTCAACTTTAAATGAAATGTTTATATAATGCCTTAGCAAACCATATTTAATTGAATGCATCTACATGAACATGTTGTCATAACCCGATTATATAGCCTACCATCACTCAACATCAAGCTTATGTGCTAATGTACAACCACTACAAAGTTTTGATGGAATCATTTTTGACAACCGTTATTGAATAACCATATATACTAATTATATATAACGTATATATATATATATATATATACTAACAATTCCACAAATGTAAATTGGTGCCTTAAATATAAATCCCCTTGTATATAATTTTCCCACTCCCCATTTTTTTGTATCATATTAGTGTTTTTTCTACATTATCTCATGCAATGTATTTGTTTATCCAGATGTATTTTCATGATATGTTATATTTAACCACGCTTCTTCTGTATAGTCACTATTTTGGACGCTCATCTCCCATGGGTCTTAAATGTCACTAATCAATATTCTATTATAGTTACATAACGTCTGTTTATATCTGTATCTCTAAATAATTATATAGTAATTAATAAATAATAAATGTAAGGATCCTAACGGGAGCTCTGGCGACGTTGCAGATGCTAGGGTGGGCTTGTGATTAGCGACTGACATCGGGGGAAGCGTGGTATGTCGCCGTTGTAACTGTTTTCCTGGTCACAGTTTTTCTTTCTGATAGATGCCCCCTTCGGGGGCATAGGTGCAGAGCTGTGTGCCGGCGTCCATGTCCATGTATTGTTATACTTTGAATTGTTTTGAGAATGTGTTTCATTATTACGGCTGATTTTTAAAAAAAAAGGATTTTGTAACTCCGTAAACATGTATTTTTTCACTTTATTTTGCTGTTAGGTTGTTAATTATATGTTAAGATATAAAAATCTTGGAAAAATATATTATTAAAGAGTTTTCTTTTTCTAAACTATCATTAGGGTTTAATTTATTTGATATTTTTAAGCTTGTGTATGTCATATATAACTATAAAACACATATAAAAGTAAACCCTTTTTTTTCTATTGTGAAAAAATATCATTCACTTCTTTGTTAATAAAAGAAGGAAAGAATGAAAGTATTCTAAACAACAAATGCAAAATATTGAAATATTTGTTTACTGGTATGATATCATTAAATATGGATATGACATATCATATCCATATTTATTGATAAATATAGATATGACATATCATCAAAAGTAACTAAATTAATTTATGATTAATGTATTTTCATAATCATGAATAAGTCTACCTAGATTAAATGATATTTAAATGTCATTTAATAAGTTTCATAAGGAGGATTTATTATTATAAGCAAATTGTGTTTTGAATAAAAAAAGAAATTTTTTTTTTATTATATTTGAATTCAATATCATATATCTCAAATTTGTAAAATGGAAAAAAAGATCAATAATTCGGATTTCAATGACTTTTTTATAATTATGCTGCTGAAATAATATACAATAACCATTCATGTAGTTCAGGAAATCCAATAAAAAGGTGTTCATTATTTTCAAAGATGTGCCTTTTTTTTCTTATAGATTTATTGATTATTCATTGCCATGAAAAAAAAAAAAAAACAAGTTGAGTAATCCATGTTAAAGTTACTAACTTATGTTTTTGCTTTTTTTTTCCTCTCACCTTTCTCAATAAAAATAAATTACATAACTTTTAAATCTAATACGTCCATGTTTGACCAGTATCATTAATTTTTTTAAATCATTTCAGGAACAAATAAAAGCCTGTACAGTTGTTGCTTATATTGATGCACCAATGGGAAGCGAGGAAGTATTTATCCGATGTAATGCTAGTGAAGATGCCAAATCAATTATCCAAGATAAAAAATTGCATCATCTGGGTAACATTATACAACTATCAGGTAATCAATATGTAGAACAGCTCTAATTATATGACACTCCTTAACTTACAGCACTTAGCTCAGTGAAGTCTGTCATTCTGCTCCATTTATTTCACCAGCCGGCTGTAAGCAAGAGGTTAAAAGCCCCAGACACACATTTCATCTTTATTATAGCTGATATTACCCAATTAACCAAACCAAAATTTGGCTAATCCAAAAATAAATTTGTCAAAACCAAAATTTGGCCGCTAGAAAAGGGCACAAAAACACAAAACGCATCTCAATGATATAAATTTAAATATAGTCATTACCCAGGTAATTAAATTTAAGGGGTTGATTTGAAGAATTATTTTCATAAATCCAAATTTGTCTGCAACCTCAATGCAATCAGAGAGATTATTATTTAAATTAAGAAAGAAATTATTATTGTATAATCTAATATACATGCCTTTAATCTAATATATATCCAATCTAATATATAATAATCCAGTCTAATCTAATAAATAATAATCTAATCTAATATATAATAATCTAATATACATGACGCCCGAAAGCTGAGCGGTAGCGCTTCGCGCTGTCGTGCCACAGGTCCCTGGTTCGATCCTCGGGCTGGGCAAGGTTGACTCAGCCTTCAGTGGGTCTGTAAATGAGTACCACGCATGCTTGGGAACTAAACACTGGGGGTTCCACGTTCGGCTGACCACCTGACCGGAACATCTGCTCCTGCACCCCAGAGCCCAAGGTCAAGAAAACTGAGATGGGCACAGTAGGCCTTGGCCCTGTATGGGCTGTCGCGCCGCTGAGTTTTGTTTAGTTTAATATACATGGCTTTACATACATGCCATATACATTATTACAAACTATAGTTAGCCCTGCATAATGGAAAACTACTGATTCCAGTCAACTCTTTTAATATAAATGGGTTATTCAATTGTTAGTATAGTGCATTAATCAATTTTAAATGCCATGTTTTTTAAAAAATTTACTTTGAAATGGTATGATATACACAGTATAATAATTCAAATGAAAATAAACTCATTTTAATGATCAATAAACAATTATAACTTGATCTGTTAGTATCATAAAATATTATTGATGTGGTTTGAATTTTATAGTAGTTGTAGTATTTTATTTATGTTGCACTAGAGCTGCACAATTGGTTATTGGCTACAGTCTGGAAAGCATGCCTGAGACTTATTTTTCTTCTCTGTAGAGAGGATGGCTCTTTTGCTTTGATTGAATTTTATGCAGTGACACTAAAAAAATATAATAAATTTTTATACAGTTAAGCCTGTTTTCAAGTAACAAGAAAATCTTTACTTAATTGTTCTTTGCTGTGTTCTCTCCATTCAGCCTTTTAATATTTATTAGAGGTGTTTAGAGATATTTTAAAAGTGAACTTTAGCAATTTTTCCAAAATTGTTGCATTTAAAAATGAATAAAATCAAAACGAATGAAATATAATTTGCAGCTCCTATTGTTGAGCAGGAGGGTTTTTGCTATCAGGGTTGTAATTTTATTTCTTGTTTATTCTAAACACTTAAAAAATCTTCTAGTTATTTAATAATTTTGATTTTTCTTTTACATAGCCCTGGTCTTGAAGTATTAATTACAGTAAGAATTATTTTATAGAAGTATTACAGGATTATTAATTGTACTTAATTACAGGAGTATTAATAAACATATAATTAGAGCTTCATTATTTTCTTTTTACTTTCTTACTAATGAAATTAATATATGTATATTTTATTTTTCAATTGTTTTTCCAGCAATGTTAGATTAATGTTTACATATTTATGTTCTTAAAATCTATTTAAGCATGTAACTATAAATTTAATGAAATTTAAGAATAAAAAAAAGTTACTTTAAACTCTAAACTTTACTTTTTCCCCTTGAAATATTATATATAATATTATTACAATTTTTGTTAAGAAATAAATCTGTTTTTCATTTGATGAAGATATACAGGGCTGATTGTGCTCCGGAAAAAATCAGGATTTCCGGATTTTTCGTTAACCGTGATCTGGAAGTTTCCGGAGATCGAAGGTTCAGACGTTTCAAAAAATCATTGATCACAAAAGTTTCTGGGAAATCAAATTTTTATTTCGGTGGAACTTAAAAGCAGTTTATTTTATTTGTTTTTAAGGGAGAGCCAGATACTTTATAAGCTTATATTCAAGATTAATATTAATTTTTTATCAGTAAATAGTTTTTATAATCATAAACTCAAGAAAGAAAGACATATTTGTAAATTTCAATTACTTCTCTAGGTCATCATAGGTATGTGAAAATGGTCTAGGTATGTGTAAAATTTTGAATATATTTTAAGTCAACTAAGAAATATTGAGAAAAAGGAAAAAACCTTGTTATATTTTTTTCTAATTTTTCGATTAAAATTTTTTTTTTAACTCAAGAAATTTTCTGGAATTTTGACTTGGGCTTACAATCACCCCTGAATATGTAAGTCTGGACTTTAATATTTTAAAAATTTATAGTATAACTTTTGAATTTTAATGTAACAAAACTTTTGTCAAATCCTTTTGATTTTATTAAGATTCTATTACCTAAATGAAATTAATATAGTGCATAAAATTTTTTTGATAGGTAAAGATGAAGAAGAATATTGGAAAAAAATTGAAAGTGATAGGGAAGCCAAATTAAATAATCCTGTAGTAAGGAAGCACAGAGGTCGTGATAAAGTAAGAGTCATATTCTTTTTTTATCAAAATTATTAGGGAATAACTTAGTGTCATCATTTTTATTACATAACATTTTAAATATGTTTTTGTCCAGTAACCAATAAATGCTTAATTTTGCATTTTAACAATGATAATGATTGATATTTTGCATTTTGTCTCTTGTAGAAAAAAAAATGAATGCATTTGGTCTTTTTTTAAAAATCTTATTTTATCTCGTATTTTTAATGGACAGTATTTTACTAGAATTCTATTGTACTAAGTTGTAAGAGGAAATCAAGAGAAAATGTTTTTTTTTTGTTGTCTAATGCTTCTTTTGTAAGCTTAATTTTCAAAATTGAAGCTTATTCCTAAGAGAATTTATTTATTATTATTTTTAAATAGTCTTTCCAACATCCTGTTTTTGGTTAAGCATAGTTTACCTGTTACTCATATTATAGATTTCACAGGCTTCATATTGTGCCAAAAGAAAAAAAACCAGGACATTTTTCAACAAAATCAGAGCATTTTTTCAGAATAGGATGTGTTTTCTAAGCTATTTTTAAAAAGGACAAATTAAAAAGAAATATTTATATATAATTTGCTTCACTCAACTTAAATATAATCAATGCGAATTTTAGTGTAAAAATAAAATGTACTGTTTTTAATTTTTAGAAAGTACTATTTTATTTAGAACAAAAAGCTTCAACAGTTTCCAGTATAATTGGATAATCCAGTATGATTGAGATAATCTAAAGTAAAATTTTGTAATACCACTGCATTGAAAAGAATGACCACCATCAATTTGTTACGATTCCCTCATACCTAAATTTAATTGAAATTTATCCTCAAGATCAAGGCTTAATCAAATAATTTTATAGTAGGGTTTTCAAAAATCTCGAAATGAAAACACAGTGAATATGCAACTGACGCCAGGCTATCAGTTTGTAGCAAAAACAAGTCAATGGCAAGAAAGCCACTTGTAGCCATAAAATTATGAGATAGATCACAAAAGGCATGTGTTTCATGCCTAAATTTACCTACCATTAAATGAGTAATTTACTATATCCAACTTAAGCCTGATTTTTTTTATATGCTGTGATTAAAAACAAAAAAACCAATTTAAAAAGTGTTCATTTGTTTAACTAAATGAATATTTTCTTCTTTTAGCTACTACTTGATTTTTAAAAAGAATAAAAAACGTTTGCTTGATGTGAAAACAATTCTTTCTCAAATCAATAGAATTATCATAAAATTCTCCCAATTCCCTAGATCAAAATAGATTAATCAGGTTGTATAAAACACAAGTCAGAAAGAAGACGATGATTACTAAAATATATCTATATGATACTTTACTTTTGTGCACATGGAGAGGAAGTAAAAATAAACATTTATCTTCGCAGTAGACAGCCAGTAGAAAAAATGTGAGTCAATAAGGGTGTTAGAGCAAAGTTAACAGTTATAATTAAATGTTAAGCGCTAGGTACAAAATATTAAATTTAAAATAACTTGGTGGTCAAAAGTTTATAAATGGAGAGAATTCTGATAGCATCATCATATCTACTTAGTATTTTTGTAAAAAATTAATTTAGAGGACGGCGCATCAATTCCCCATTTTAACTAAGATATTGTTGATTAGAATCGATCATTTTTAAAATCAGATAAAAGAGACAAATTAATACTTGAGCTTTTCACAACCCAAAATGAAAGGATGTAAGAAAAATTCACTTTCTCAGGGGTCTGGCTGCAAAGGATTATGTGACGATCAAGGTCGTTGAGGTCAGCAAAGTTCAGGGGTTATCTTTAAATGTTAGGCACCTAGTGAAAAGTAATTTAAAAATAACCTGTAGCCGAAAAGTTGTAAAAAGAGAGAATTGTGATAGTATCATCCCAGCTACTTAGCATTTTTAGACACAAAGTAATTGAGATAATAATGCCACAATCAATAATTTAAACTAAGATACAATTACTGTATTGATTAAAATTGATCACTTTTAAAATCCGATGAAAGAGAAAAATCAACACTTGAGCAGTTCACAATGCAAATTAACTCCATTTAATGAATTGGAAAGTTTTATGAAATAATGTACATTTTTTTTACAACTTAGTAACCTAAATATTTAATTTTGAAAGTCTTTTGCACAATTTATATATAATATTAAAAATTAATGACCCTTTTGTTATTTAACTGTGGCACTGGATAAAATAGTGAAACTAATTACTTCTAGTCACATCCACAAATTAGCACAATTTCTCTGTCAAGCATTTATATTTTAACAGAAAAACTGTTCTGCAGAAAAGCAACCTTGTACTATTTTAAGCTAAGTTTTGAATCAAAAGTTAAAGTTGTTGCGATGTTAACCCCTTAACTGCCGAGTAAAATTAACGTGATTCACTCCCCAGTGCCACCGTTTTTTGCTCAAGTGCACTTTCTTACGCGGTGTTTTGGTGGGGGAAAATGATGTGCGCTTTGCAATTTAAAAACAGTTTAATTTTACAAGACAAGAAAAGGAAAGAAAGAAAATACAAAATTTAAATTAAATAATAAAAATACAATATAAAAGATGTTAAAACTTAGCTATTGTATGTTAAATCCTGAAACATGGTTGGACACATAAACCAACATCACATTCATTGTACTGATAGCGGGATTCTCGAAGAATTTTTTTTCTTGAACAAACAGCATATTTCCGTGATGCATTTTTCTTTGAAGACGTTGATGGAAAGAATAAAAAGCACCAAATACATACGGGAAACAAAAGCGAAAAAAGAACAAACCCGACCTTACTTAAATAAATACACACAAGCGATTAATGCGATATCACTTTTCCATAACATCCTTTTCACATTCCCCCACCTCCGAAATTAGTAATACATGCGCAAAGCAAGCACTTTCAAGGCCATTTTACTGCATTCTGAAGTGGGGGTGTAGTTCTATTTATAGCAGCGCAATGGAAAGAGTCGTACTTCAGGAAAGCATATATATACGCCTGCGGCAGTTAACGCATCGTCTTGCCAAGACATATATATACACCCGCGGCAGTTAAGGGGTTAACTCAAACATTGTTAATAGTCATTTTCTATTTTAATTATCAGAAAAAAAACTTCTTATTATTGTCACCAAGGAATAATCTTCTCTCTGCAGTGAAGTTTTAAAAATATTAGCAAATCTCAGCAATTTCTTTTAGGGGTCAACTTATACCAAAGATGCACAACCAGTGGCTCTGAAAACCTTTACATGTAATAAAACCTTACCTAAATATATATAGAAATCTAATGATGGTGTCACAGTTTTCTAATGTTGTCATTACATTTTTATTGGCTGAAAAATTACATGGTAGGATCCAGTCTTCCATATATTTTGGTTGTTATCAGCATAAAATTCATTAAGTTATTGTTCAGTTATAAATTTAAAAAAAATTCTTTACAACTATTTTTTTAAACAAAAAATAGTTTGTAAAGTAAAATTTTTAACTATATTTAGATTTTTTTATTATCAGTACCATAGTGTAAAAAAAACGCAATTTTATATGTGTAAATTATTTATATTGCTTTCAAATGATAAATAAATCCTTCACTTTCATGATAACTTACACTGCCCCCCCCATACATGGTATTTTCTACTTATTATGGTCCACTATCCAATTATGATTGAATATTCCAACATACATGGAGGAATGTTTTTTGCTTTAGTAACTATTCACATCATTCTTTATAACATTTAAAATATAACACTAGAATATCTAATTATAAGATTAATTCACATTGACTTTCAAAGAGCTAAATGCCATGATTATAATTACATGGAACAAAAATATTGGAAGAATTTATAAGAATAAGTTTTTAGACACTAAAAAATACTTTATTACACAGAGTAATATGAGATTAGTCTTAAAGTATGTGCTGTAAAATTATAAATTGAACTATATTCTAACCTTTTGAAAATTATTTTCAGCTTATTTCCAAAGCAGCAAAACTTGTTCAACAAAGAAACAAACACATGTATTTTGATGAGTGATGATTTATTATATGATTAACTTTTCTGTACATTATAATTGTGAATAAAAAATTTTATTCAAATTTTTGTCTCTTATTTGCACTAAAAGTACCACCACCGCCACCATTAAAAGTTCGTTTTTCACCACCAAAGCCGCCACCGCCGCGTCCTCCACGATTGAATCCACCACCACCTCCTCTTCCACCAAAACCTCCACGTCCTCCTCCTCTTCCAAATCCTCCGCCACCACCACGGCCAAACCCTCCACGTCCGCCTCCACCTCCTCTGCCAAAACCACCACGCCCACCTCTACCTCCTCGACCACCTAAAAAGGAAATTTTTTTTTTAAATAGGACAAATTCAAAGATATTTTAAGGACAGATTCAAAAACATTAGTTATTTTTTAAAAAACACTTAGTGATAGTCTGCACTATCAATGTATGTATTCATTTTTAAATTTAAACATTATAAAAATAATTATTCTTTATATAAGGTTCCCACTTAAATGCTTAAGTATTAACTGACTTTTCTTTCATGAAAATTTCAACTAAACTCTATGCTACATTTTTACTAAACACAGTAACTTTTCTTTGGAAAAATGCTTTACTTTCAGGGTATCCGCGCACCTGGAAAGTCATGAAATGTCATGATTTTAACTATTTTTTGAAAAAAGTCATGGATTTAGGTCGCCGAAAAATCAAATTTACCCCCCCAATTTCATGGTGTTCCCAATATCTGAATTTGTAACAAAATCACCACTCACAGTCATATTTAATTAAAATATAAAATGTTTTTATCGTGTTCTTTCAAAAAATGAAAGAAAAAACATCATTTCTAGAGCGAATTATCTTGTAAACTTCTATGATTTCAGAATTTTTGTTATTATTTTTTATTTTATTAATTTAAAATTTTAGCTGAAGCAAATCAGTCATTGGGGAATTTTTTTATTCCGAAATTTGAACAGAAAAATCAGGAGTATTTCTTTCTTTTCCGAGGAACAAGAAAAGTATCTTTAAAATGTAATTCTGCAGAAAAAAAAAAGAAATTTTTTTTTTGCTTTTGTATTTTTTCTCCAGCTATTTTATTGCTTCAACTCTTTCTTTACTCTGTTTTTAAATTTAAAATCTATAAAAATGAAGATGCAGAGTATAACAGTGTTGGTTATACCTATCATTTCAATGAATGTTATTATAATGCATTTTTAAATTTATTGTTGTGTTTTTGTCGGAGAAAATAGTAACTTCGCTAAGTCATCAAAAATTCCTGGAATTAGTCATGAATTTGAAAATCTAAAATGTAGCAGATACCCTGTACTTTTCTTCAATATTCAATTACAAAATTTTTTTATCTACTCCCATTTTAACTCCTTTCCTTAATAAATTTGATTACATTAAAAAAAAAAAAAAAAAACAGCAACAGCTTTGAAAGTCTCTGCACTTTAAGTTTAATATGAATAAGACTAAAATTCAAAACTCTTTTGATTGATCCTGAGCTGCATAGACAAAAAAGCAGACATACTAAAGCTATTATAACATAATAAAATAACATGTAACTAGAAAATTTATTCCAATAAGTCAACTAAATTATAATAATTTAATTAAACCCTTGAATTGATTGATTGAAAAAATTACTAACTCATATAATTTTTTTGTGATTTATAATTATTGTACTAATTATATATATTAAACTAATAATAGAAATATTCATGCACATATAAGCAGGAGCACAGAAAATATTTACATCCTATTCCCTATGAACAAAGTTTCTTTTTGGATCAAAATTCCCCCCCAAAATTTAGCTTTTTTTCAGCACAATAACTTTTAAAAAATATTTTTGTATAATAATGTTTATATAAGAAGAAAAAAACGAGCAAATAAGTTATAAAATAATAGAAATCAAAATATATTGAAATAGTAATAATTTATTAAATTTAAGGCCCCATTTATAGACTTAAGGAATTTAAACTTATAAATGCATAAATTGACGTATGTTTTTTTTAAAACAAGAAATCACATAGAAATTTTTTTAGACCAAAACTTTCTACATGGCGGACTGAATTTCTTCCAAAGCCTTGTTTGACAGTCAAACATATTCTGTTCTGCTGAATATAATTAATAACAACAATATTGAGAATTAATAAAAATAATAAACAAATTATACATTGATCAGATAATTATTATCTAAAACTTTAATTTCACTTAATCTAAAAACTCTGCCTAAATTGCAATATAAAAGATTTAAAATAAATAATTAGATTGATAACAGTTAAAACAGCTCATAATTATTATCTGTAATATAAACCAAACAGTTATAATATGGGTCTTAAAGTATTAATATTACCATTAGAAAAATCAATTAATAGTTTAAATAACTTTGGTTACATTTTTTACACGTGAAACGTAATATAAATCATATGTATAGTAGTATATAATGGAAGTGCTGTGCATGATTTAGAATTAAAAATGTCAGAAAAGAAGCTTTTCGACAATTTATAACATTTTTTGACAGGTTTTTGATGTTAGTATCAAAAACCATTTATTAACATTAAAAACCCAACTTTGGTTTCAGTTCACAATGGTTAAACAGTTCATATAGATATCTGGTTAATTTTTTCTTTTTTTTTGAATCAGTCTATTAGATAATTAAATGCATAAGTAAATATAGTATATCTTACCTCTACCACCTCTTCCTGGTGTTGAAGGTGTTCCAGGAGGTTTTGGAAGAAAACGTGACAAAGGCAACAATTTTTCAGGATTAATATAAATCTGAAAGTAAGAAACACATTTCTTAACATATAAATTTTTCTGTCTTAAAATAAAATAATCATAAGCAATTTAAATTATATACAATGTACAAAAGCTAAATTTGATACAAATCATTGTTTTTATCACATTAATCATTAGATATGTCCTAATAACATAAAATTAAGATATTGATATCAAACAAAAAATAAAAAAATGTCACAGATTTTGAGCAAAGGATTATGATTATTTTTATTTTCAGATTTTTTTAAATTAATTTTTTATAATTTCTTTTAACCAATCCTGTAAGAACTCAGGAACTATTCAAAAAACCTTAAAATAAAAATTTGGAGTAATCAGTACCTGAAAAGTCTATAAAAGTTTTGTCTGATATGGAGACTTATTTTATGTTACACTTCGTGTCATTTACCTTTGGAACACACAAATGGCATGCTTGATGAATTTGCATAATATTTTCAAATTAAATTATAACAGGTTTTCAATTTTCTCCATGGAAAAATTTATTTTATTATTTCAACTCATTCAATACATGCATTACTAAGAGATTTAAAATTTTTGTAAATCCTTGTTTGAACACACATTTGTTTTGAACATATTTTGCTAAAGACAAAATAGTAATGTTTAGTTCTATTCTGTTTATATGTACATTTAAAAATAGTTATAATTATTTCAAAATGCAATAAAATTAATAATTTAAGAAATAAAACTGTACTACATAACCAGTTTAGGAAAAAGCATTCTTCAAGAAAAATGCATTTACCTAAGCTTTTTCATTTCAATCAAACATTAAAATGAATGAATTGGAAAAAAAAAAAAAAATGAGGAATGATGCATTGTAGTATCATGCATTAAACCAAAAGTAAATGACAAGAATAGAGTTTGGCTCTAAACCAAGTATCAAACAAATAATTCATTTTTTTTATAGTTTACATGTATATAAATATTTAAAGCAGTGTTCATTCTAGACCTTAATAAGGGCACCTATAACAAAAACGGGTATTGTTCAAAAATATTTGTATAACTTCTAAGGCATCCAAAATATAAAAAGTTTTTAATTTTACCATTAAAAAAAATCTTTTTTTAAAAGATAATTAGTTTAAACTAAAAATAATTTCTCAGTTAAATTCACATTTGATAAATTTATATAATGAGTGTAATTCTCGGATTTTAAAAAAGTTGCGCCATGTAACAATAACCTAATTGAAAATATTGGGATTTTAAAAACGATGCTGAAATGATTGAAAAATAACTATAAGTAATTGTTATAACTGTTGAAAAAGTGGTCAAAAAATTATTGTGGACTTAACGCTAAAAATTAATCCGGACATCGCAGTGCATGAAAAAGTGGTAACTAAAATATGAAATTTTCTAGCCATAACATTGTATTAATTACATCAGAATTGAAAAAAATCACAAGGAAATAGTCAAAAAAGGACAAGCAGTTGCCAAAAAAAAAAAAAAAAAACAGTCAATAAACGATGTAGATTTACGATAAAATCAACCTAAATCGAGCATGTTAAAAATACTCCTTAAATTGAAAAACTTGCTCGTCCTAATAGCATTGCAAAAAAATTATCAGAAAAAGGAAAAATAAGTGGATATGGCCGACAGCAATGGATTCGTTGAGAATCGAAAGCCTTAAAAAGTGATAATTTAAATTTGAAATTCACGTGTCGTGATAACGTATTAAATACATCAGAGTTTAAAAAACCTAAAGTGGGTTTTTCTAAGATTGATTTCTTTTTTTATCCTCTGTTATATTAAAGAGCTATTCTATTGAAATATTTATGTAGTCTAGCCTAAAAAAAAATTAACCTATAGTGAAAAAACTAATTGTGTTGGAGACTGGAGAGTCACCTTGCTGAATAGATTTGACTGTATGGTCATTGATTATTCAGTGCCATTTATTCACTTTCTATGCTAATAAAGAATGTTCCTAAAATATTTTTTAAGATTAAAATATAAATAAAAAATAATCCTGTGTTAGAATAAGTTTCAATTGTGTGATGTATGTGAGTACATATAACATTTTGTATCGTGATGTCAGAAGAAACTTTTTTCAGACTTTCACATCAATTTATTTGTATTAATTATCTATATGAAGTCAATTTATTAAATTAAACTTAATTATTAATATTAAAATAAGCTTTTTTAAAATAAGGTACCTATACCTGCCCTCTCTTTTGAAAAAGCCCCCATGAAAAACCCAGAAAAGCCCAATAAAANGTTTTTCTAAGATTGATTTCTTTTTTTATCCTCTGTTATATTAAAGAGCTATTCTATTGAAATATTTATGTAGTCTAGCCTAAAAAAAAATTAACCTATAGTGAAAAAACTAATTGTGTTGGAGACTGGAGAGTCACCTTGCTGACTAGATTTGACTGTATGGCTATTGATTATTCAGTGCCATTTATTCGCTTTCTATGCAAATAAAGAATGTTCCTCAAATATTTTTTAAGATTAAAATATAAATAAAAAGTAATCCTGTGTTAAAATAAGTTTCAAATGTTTGATGTATGTGAGTACATATAACATTTTGTATCGTGATGTCAGAAGAAACTTTTTTCAGACTTTCACAGCAATTTATTTGTATTAATTATCTATATGAAGTCAATTTATAAACTTAAACTTAATTATTAATATTAAAATAAGTTTTTATAAAATAAGGTACTTATCCCTCCCCCCTCTTTTGAAAAAGTCCCCATGAAAACATGAAAAACCCAGAAAAGCCCAATAAACCCAAAAAAAACCCACCCGGGTTGGGTTTTTCTACAAAAACCCGAGTTTTTTGCAACCCTGTGAAACACCCTATTAAATGTCATAAAAATACAGAACAAAATAGAAAAACTATGCGCAGAAGGCAGAAAAAATTGCCAAAAGAACTATCAGGTTGTCCGCAATGTTCGCGTCGGTAGATTATCGAGTAAGAATCAAATGCAATAAATAGTAATAGCTCAATTTTGAATGTCGTAATAATATCGTATTACAAATATTGAATTTTAAAAACATGGGGAAAGGGATGATGAACTGATAAGCAGCTTCTGAAAAATTATCATTAAACAACGCAAAAGTATGCCATGAATTGAACACTTTAAAGTAGGGTGTTCATGTCGTAATGACATATGACGAAGTTTGATAAACCATAGGAAACAGGCGAAAAAAATGATCAATAACGGTCGAAACACAATTTATTATTTACAAAAAATATAAATATATAAATCAAAAAATCGTGTGGATTTATCAAACATTGGTGCGACTTTTTTACCACATTTAATATGCCAGGTTGCGTAATCAGGTACATTAAACAGGGAGGCAGAATTTTTTTAGTCAAAGGTGCGACCTTTTTACCACATTTAATATGCCAGGGTGCGTAATCAGGTACATTAAACAGGGGGGCAGGATTTTTTTAGTCAAAGGTGCGACCTTTTTACCACATTTAATATGCCAGGGTGCGTAAGGACAAATAGCACGCCCTGCCCGTAAACCTAGAACAAACCCTGTTTAAAGTATGAAAACAATCACAACAGTTTTTAAAATTTTTTAGAATAGCTAAAAAAAGGACAAATATAACTCAGTTACTTACTTTTTGATTCTTTACAAAGGAGCTAGCTTTGACATCATCTGATAATTTCACAGAAACATACTAATGATAGGTTAAGAAAATCTTAAAACAATGTATTGACAAAATAGTTAAATACTAATTTAACTTTGGAATCTTTTACTCTTTTTTACTTTAACAAATAGAAATAAAAAGAAAGCAAAATTAACTTTTTAATTAAAAACACAATCCCATAATTTAAATAAGGAATTTGGTAAAGGGCAGCAAACATTAATGAAATTTATAACCAGGCTAAATTTTGCACTCTCATGTATTGTCTGGAATGCAAGTTCTGTGCAGTCACCACAAAACCACCTCAGTTCTTTAGAAAGCTTATCTAGACCCCCCTATTCACAGGATGCTGTGTGAAGGATCAAAAAACACAGACTAAATCAATGTTAAGCTCCCAGCATGAACTCATATCCATCCCACTAACTATTGAAACAATGCTGTACAACAATATTCTTTAGCTATTCATATTGTGCTTGAAATCAAATATAAAATCTAAGTGTAAGAAATAATTAATTATAAAATTGGTGGATTCTATCATATTTAAGGTATTTATAAGCTCTGCTCAGGATTCTTATTCAATTTTAGAAATAAATTTCCTTTATTATATAAGGTATTCTAGGAAATTATATATATATATATATATACAGTGAAACCTCCGTTGAGCGGACACTCTCGGGACCAAAAAAATTGTCCGTTTACGAGAGTTGTCCGTTTAGGGGAAGGGTATACATTAATAAAGAATACTCAAGCCATAAATTGCTTTTAGAATAATTGAAATGATTTAGAAATAATTAAATAATATATAAGAACTATTCACATTGACATTTATTTAAACGTAACAAAATTATAATATTTATGATACAAAAAGAGAAGATTAAGAAATCCAATATACATGTCTTTGTTCCATACTATTATCCAGTTGAAAAGAAAGATGTGATAGAAGTTTGGTTTAAGTGACTGCGACTCACCATATCTTCATGGTACATTTTTAAATCATTTAGCATCTTTACACCAATTTCATCATTTTTCGATAAATAAAAATGTCTCAGTTCCTCAATATAAGTTTGAGCATCATTTAAAGTTTTCACTTTCGGTTCGTATTCTGAAAGCAGTTGAGTATCATCGTCTTCATTTTCACTCTCGGCATCAATATTTGTAACCATCTCAACAATTTCGTCTATATTTAAATCATTCTTTTGATATTCAATATTTTCGTCTATGTTTACAAAATCATTACCGTTGACAACACTTTCTCCAGTCAAGCGAATCAAATTTGTTAATTCAGAAAAGGAATCATCAGAATTTGTGTCATCCACGCCATCTGTAAGGATATTGCATTCTGATGTATCTTTTTTGAAACCTGCCTTAGTGAAACAGTTTAAAATGGTTGAACTTTTTACTTTTTTCCAGGCTGCTATTACCCACAAAGAAGCTTGTAAGACATCAATTTTGACGTTTTCTTTATTTGGCCCATCTAAGCTCGTAATCAAGTGTTTTAAAATTAGTTGCCGATAAAACACTTTGAAGTTTTTAATAACACCTTGATCAAGTGGCTGGCAAACAGATGTTACATTTGGAGGAAAGAATGCAATTTTTACATTCTTTAGATTAATGTTAGGGTGAGACGCTGCATTATCAAGGAAAAGAAGAACTTTCCTGTTTTTGCGGCCCATTTTTCTATCAAGTTCAAGCAACCACTCAGTCATTAAATCCTGGGTCATCCATGCTCGTCGATTTGCTTTCCATTTTATTCCAAGCCTAATTAAATCCATTCCTTTAAAACACCTGGGCTTATTTGATTTCCCTATAATCAACGGGGGCTCTTGTTCTCCGGTCATACTTGCGCAAAGTAAAATCGTCAATCTTTCTTTTGACATTTTACCTCCTTCACACTTTTCACCTTTTAAACACAAAGTTTTTTCCGGTAATGCCCGAAAAAAAAGACCTGTCTCATCAGCATTTAATACGTCATCGGGTGCATAGTCCTCCAATAAAGAAGGCAGCTTTTCCAACCAATCCTTAACCATGTCAGTGTCCACAGAAGCGGACTCTCCACTTATTGATTTAAAAGAAATCATATGTCTCTTTCTGAACTTTTCCAACCATCCATTAGAAGCTTTAAAATCCTTTATCCCCAATTTCTCAGCTGCCTCTCTAGCCTTTTCCTGTAACATTGGTCCAGATACTGGATATTTTTTGCTTCTAACTTGAGAAAACCATTCAAAAACGCATCTATCAATTTTAAATCCAGGTCCGTTTGCCGAAGATATTCTAATTTGGTTCATATTTCCATTTTCGCACCAGAGTTTCATAAGTTTTTCTCTATTTTTAATGATGTCTGCTGCCTGAGTCTTTCCAATTTTAAAGTGTTCGGCCAATTTTCGAACACTGCTTTTTTGATGCTTGAAATATTCTAAAAGTTCAATTTTTTCCTTTAAAGTTAAAACTTTACGAGGCATAGTTGAACAAGAAGAGACTTTCTCAAGAATGAAGATCTTTTAAAAGCTTTATCTCAAATACACTTTCAACAGATGTAGTTACAAAGAAATGAAAATGTTTTTCATAATTACGCAGAT